TTAACTTTCAAGGTATCTGAATATATATATATACTGAATATATATATATATATAAAAGTTGCAATATATATATCTTCTTCTTTGGCAATCACTCGTAGTCAAGTAAGATTGTCTTCCATAAACATGGTGGGTGGGTGTGGGTGTGGGTGTGGGTGTATATATATATATATATATATATATATATATATATGCCATAGTCAGTGCCGGATTTACATATAAGCTAAAAAAGTTATAGCTTAGGGCCCCACTCTCTTGGAGGCCCCCAAAAAAATTAAAGGGGAAAAAAAACCTGGATGTACATTTCCAAAATATAAGATAAAAAAACAAATAAAATAAAACCTACATACAGCAGCAGTATTTTGTGTTGTGTAGGGGCCTATGATGTAAATAATGGGCCCTGCCTGCTAGCCTGCTCTCTAAAATATCACTGCTTTGCTCATTTCTATATATAGGATGCCTACATTCTGCATGGACTGGTTGCATCGCATATATTCAACACAAAAAACAGCGGCAATTTGTTGTTGACAAAGGACAGCTGGACATATAAAGGGCCCCATTACCTTCAGTAGCTTAGGGCCTCATCAAACCTAAATCCTGTCCTGGCCATAGCCATGTGCTGACATTTCACATTCAGCTTCAGTGTTCCTAGGAGAAGCCCAGAAAGGATTAAAGTTGTGACAAAATCTTCAGAGGAGGACTGCAGAGACCTACAAATAAGCTTGAAGTGTACAGACAGACATCTTCTAGAGGCATTGTTTGCATAGGAGAAAAAGGAAGCTTTGGCTCATCAGCATAATGGCAATCAGCTATAGTTTGTCAGCATCATTTACACTGAGTACTGTGATGAAACAGAACGTGGTGTTTTTGTGTATGTTTCTGTGAGTGTAACTGCTTGATCTCGGCCCAGAGGGATGGCCCAGTGGAGCAGCAGCAATGTTGACATTACGGTAATACATGACAATTAGGCGCAGTGCCCAATCCCTCCAGGATATTTTCTTTCTAGTTTACCTGTCATCCAGGTGCTACCAAACTGGCAAGGACACCAGATGTTCTTTGAATGAAAGAAACTGGGAGCAGAGACTGGTCTGCCGAGAAGCAAAAAAACAAAATGCCTGCCTCAGCGGGGGGAGGGGGGAGGAGCTGGTTGATGTTAAGATCGACCAGGTGAAGGCTGGACCGGTTGAACTTAGGAGACATAGCTCCTAAGTTCATGAGATAAGAAATTGCATCAGAAAATTATCAAAAGGAAGAGAACATTGGAAAGGGCTGTCGCTCGGTGGTAAATCATCTTCCTTGCATGCAGAAGGTCTCAGCTTCAATCCCAGTGGCATCTTCAGGCAGGGCTGAGAGAGACCCCTGTTGAAACCCTGTAGAACTCCTGCCTGTTGGTGTGGACAATTCTGAGCTAAATGGACCAACGGTTGAACAGCTTCCTAGAGTCTTGTTTCGTTGAAATTGTAAATTGGTAGTGCACAGAGGTTTCGTTGCTCCTACTTTACTATCAAGGTGGCCAAGGGGTGTTTGTGAGTGTGATGTCTTTCATTAGACAAATCTCTCTGGTGGTGTTCCTCGACACAGCCTAAAAACAAAACCATGACATCCTTGGTGGGTGCGTGGACAATACTGAGCCAATGGTTCGGTGCAAGCAGCTTGTTGGACCAGATGAAAGATTCATCTCTAATCCAGCATCTGGTTTCCAAGAGTGGAGAGCTAGATGCCTTAGTGAAGCCCGCAAGCAAGGAACAAAGCCAAATGCCTTCATCTCTGTATTGCACTCAGTGTTCAGGGACAGACTGCCTCTGACGTTGGAGGTTCTGTTAGCCAAGAACTAGGCTAGAAATTTAAGCTAATGAAATCCGGATTAGATTCTCAAAGTTTCACACCCACCATTGCCTCTTGCACTAGAAACAAGAGGCACCCCACCTCCCACGTGGAGATTAAAGAGGGTGTTGTAGGGCATGACAAAGGCATTGGTTTAAAATGTGGCAAAGCACAACGATAAGATTTGGAAAAGTTTTTGAAAATATAGTATTTGTTAATAGGTGGTTCCTGGGTTAATAATTCTTCATTGAGTTATTCAGCCAGTGTGGTGTAGTGGTTAAGAGCGGTAGTCTCGTAATCTGGTGCACCGGGTTAGATTCCCTGCTCCTCCACATGCTGCTGCTGGGTGACCTTGGGCTAGTCACACTCCTCTGAAGTCTCTCAGCCCCACTCATCTCACAGAGTGTTTGTTGTGGGGGAGGAAGGGAAAGGAGAATGTTAGCCGCTTTGAGACTCCTTAGGTTAGTGATAAAGCAGGATATCAAATCCAAACTCCTCCTCCTCCTCCTCCTCTTCTTCTTCTTCTTCGTCTTCTTCTTCTTCTTCATTGCTGTAAACACCACCCGGTAATACCATCTCCTAAACTACCTGAGTACTGCAGACAACCCTCAAAATATTATTCGTTTGTTTATTTTTTCATCACTTCAACTTGAGCCAATCACCCAGAGATTTTCTTCTGAAATTTTCTTCTGAAATCCAGCCAAAATTTCCATCTTTACAAATCGATGGTCATGGGCCAGGAGTCTGCTTCACCTACTGAACAGCAGCCTGAAGGGGGAGAAGGCAGAATGACTCTACTTGCAGCTGCTCAGCCCTTCAGGGATAGGAGGAGAAGACACTGATGAAAACCAGCTGGCTTCAGCCTTCTTCAGCAGAGCTTCCAGCAGCACTCAGAGGCAGAAAACAATGCCTGTGGTTCCTGGTCCCACCTTGCTGCTTCCTGCTCTCCATCTGGACCATTGGATCTGTGGTCGCCTGGGTTCCCTGACCTCTGGACTGTTTGACTTTGCATGTGGATTCTGCTCTTAGGCAAGTGTTCCTCGGAGATTCCTTTTATTTTATTTATAATTTTCAGGTTTATACATTTCAATCATTTTACAGGCATTTTAACATTTCAAAACTTGACTTCCTTCCCCCTCTTTCCGCGGTTCCTTGAATTTATTTTTAATATTTCCTGCATATCCAAATTAACTTAATTTGTTCATTTATTCTTCTACTTTAAATATATACTCTTATGAAACTGCAGGTTATTACAGTAATCCTGCCAGTGTTCTTATCTGTTTACAATTTATCTGTAAACATTCAATGAACTATTTCCATTCTTTTATAAAAGTTTTGTTATCTTGATTTCTTATTTTTCTGGTAAGTTTCGTCATTTCTGCATATTCCATAAGTTTTTGTGTCCATTCTTCTTTTGCTGTGACTTCTTCTTCCCATTTTTGGGCAAGTAACATTCTTGCCGCTGTAGTAGCATACATGAATAAGTTTCTGTACAATTTGGGTAGTTCTGTCCCTGCAATTCCTGAAAGGAAAGCTTCTGAGTTTTTTTTTAATGTATTTTTTATTAAAGATTTCTTGGTTTACAAAAGTCTGTGCAATGTCTCTTTTTTCAAGTTACATTTTCTATAGGTCAGTTTCATTTGTTGAGACATTAGTGTTACATTAGGAAGAAAGGGGGGGAGATGGAGGGGGCCATGGTGGGGTTTTTGCTTTTTTACATTCCTCGGAGATTCCTAGCCCCTGCTTGCTCAGCAACAGAACTCGGAGGTGGCTGCAACATTGATTAGCATGTGCAAATTTGCTGCTTTGGGGTGGATTCCAATGTCATTGTTTGTATTTAATGTATGTGAGAGATTTTTTTCCTCTCCATTTCTCGTTATACTTCAACTCAGGGCCATCCACTGAAGCTCAGGGCCATCCAGACAAAAGGAAGCAATTCTTCACACAGCACACATTTAGACTATGGAACTCACTCCCACAAGATGCAGTAATAGCCAACAACTTAGACTGCCTTAAAAGAGGATTGGGCTTATTAATGAAGGCATTCATATATCTGAATACAAACTGCTGGGGCTCACAAGTAGAGAGGGTGCTATTGTCCTTGTGGGGTTCCCATAGGCACCTGAGTGGCCGCTGTGAGGATGCTGGACTAGATGGGTATTTGGTCTTATCCAGCAAGGCTATGCCTTTTAAGGGTTTAGTAAAGCCCCTGAATAAGACAAATGGAAGCATTTCTTCAAACACCTAATCAGCCACAAGATGGCATTGTTGACTGCTACTACAGGATATTAGATTAGAAGAAGACATGGAAGATGGTTAAAAGATCAAAATAAGGTTGGTTAAAATGTAGCTTCTAGGTTCAACTGCATGGTAATTCTGAGTATTAGATGTTGATACACTAGGACTGCATTCGCATGGCACTTTATTCTGTTTCCCCACCATTTCACTACCTGTGAATGCTTATATCTGAGCATTCACACGACATCAAAGCCAGAAATCTTGCAGGATGTAGTGGAAGCTAAATGTGCAGTTCTGTGTTAGTTGCTTCCGTTAAGAAATTTGTTCACAACTCCATTAACCCAGGAGATCATCGTAATAAGGTGATGAAATTTGGGGTGGTATCCCGGCATACACTTCTTTCCTGCTGTTTTCATGGGGGAACAGAAGCATGCAGGTGTATGTTGCTGATGTATGTTGTTGTGTGAATGAAATTTAGCACAACTTGAAGGTATATTTACCCGAAAGCCACAGTTCTACTATGCAGCAGGTACTGCAGTGTGAAAAGAATGATAGAAATCAGGAAAGAAGTGCTAGAATTCTAATCAGGAAAACGAGTGCAATATCCCCCATAACTGAATGCACCCACCATCACCATGGTTATAAACCTCCCTGGAGCCTCCATCTGCCTAATGTCAGACTGAGCAGTCACACAAGTCTCCTGGTCACTCTCTGTCCCACTGTGGGGAGCAGCACTATATTTAAATAACAGCAATCAATTCTACATTTGCATCTATACATATAAATTGCCAGCTGCACATGCCATAGAAGTCTCTGTCCTCATTTGTCCTGGTGATGAATTTCCTGCGCAGTGCAGAAGAGGACACCCTGACCAGGGTCGCCATCGCTTCCTGTTTGAGAAAAGCAATCAACTCAGCAGATTGTTTGCCCAAGGAAGGGCTGCAGCTCAGGGGTAGAGTGTCTGCCTTCCATGGAGAAGGTCGCCAGTTCAATCCCCGACATGTACAGGCTGGGCCCGGAGACACTCCCTGCTTGAAGTCCTGGAGGACTGCAGCCAGTCAGTGTAGACAATACACCTGACTCAGTATGAAGGCAGTTTCCTATTATTCTGAGAAAAGAGAGAGGCTAGATAAAGTTTTCCACTGAAACCTTTTGGCAGGATATGCCATAGCCTGTTCTGCTGCATGCCAGTTGTGCTGTCACACCATTCTATGGAATGACTCTCTCACCATAGATACTCATCTCTTCCCTGCCCAGAGGGGGAAACCCCTTTTTCTCCAGACATAAAGGAAAGTTAGGGGCAGTGACTTTTCCCCCCACTGCAGCTCAGAAAACCTGGCAACTTCTTGGGGCATCTTGCTAGGATTTCTAGCTAGGAATGCAACCTTGCTGTGGCGATCAATTTGACTAAAAATCATTACAATTGCTTTCTTAAAATGTTAGTCACTCGTAACGCAAAAAGTTCTCTTAAGTGACTCACGACACATTTAAGAGCATGAACCAAAGTAAAAAATACATTACAATTAAACACACATTTTGGCTTTTCCCCAAGCCTTCCTTATTGTGGAAGTTCCTCCACCATCCCCCTCACTGCCTCTACTGGCGCCACTTCCCCAGGAGGTCTGTCACCTTGCTGAACAGCTCTAAGCCTTGAGGAGCCTCTTTGTGCAGCCAAAATCTGCTTCCCTGGAATTTCTACCCATCACTTTGACATAAGAGCATAAAAAGATCCTGCCGGATTAGGCCAATGGCCCACCTAGTCCAGCATCCTGTTCTCGCAGCAGCCAGCCAGATGCCGGTAGGAAACCCTGAGCACAAGAACAGGTTTCCCCTGCTGTTTCCAGCAATGAGAATTAAGAAGCTTTATTGCTTTTGACTGTGGAGGCAGAACATAGCCATGGTGGCTGGCAGTGATTTATTGGTTCTAGTCCTGCCCTTCAAAACTATAGTGATTATATCTGTTCCATCAACTGCATGACATCCCTTCAGATATTCATTCCGCTTGCGCAACAACAGACCTAAGAAAACGTAGGTGATGGTGCCTGCACGTCCGTCAAGCCAAACAGGAAACTGCCTTATTCATCAACTGCATTTATATTCTACATTTTCCTCCAAGGAGCTCAAGGTGACATAGTTCTCCTCCTCATTTAATCCTCACAATAACTCTGTGAGGTAGGTTAGGCTGAGAGGTAGTGACTGGCTCACCCAGTGAGCTTCATGGCTGAGTCAGAATTTGAACCCTGGTCTCCCACATCCTAGTCTGAAGCTGTAACCACTATCCTACTCTGGCTCTCAACTGCCTACACTAACTGGCAGTGGATCTCTACAGGCACAGCTGCAGGTCTTTTACATCACCTGCAGGGGATGGGGGTTGAAATTTGATTCATTTCGCATTAAAATATGAGCTTGTCTAACTCGCATTTCCCTAAACGATGTGTGAACCAAACCAGGGCTGCTCATCGGAGTCTGCACTTCTCTGAATTTTGCGGGGCAATTCTCCAGCCAAGTGAAGTGTACAAAAATGCATCTGCTAGGCAAAGTGTACATAAAAACACGGGTGTTAGTGAAACTAACATACCAAAATGCATTGGATTGGGGGAAATGTAAATATTAGGCAAAATTGTACATATTTGTCAAAATTGCACACAAATGTGTGTATATTGGGAGAAATTTGTACCCAAATGCAGATGAATTTTCATGAAGACTCCCCCCCCCCCAACAGACTGCAAACTGATGTGGAAATCTGGAGAACTGAATTTAAGGTTGGGAAAATTAGAAACTGAGAGGAACAGCTTTTGGGCTGTCAGCAGCTTTTGGGTTATCAGTAGTTCAATGATCGAACATCTGCTTTGCATGCAAAAGGTCCCAGATTCAATTCCTGGCATCTTCAGGTAAGGTTAGGAATGTTCCCTGGAGAGCTGCTTCCAGTCAGTGTGGACAATACTGAGCTAGATAGACCAAACACAGCTTCCTCTGTTCCTAAATGCAAACATTTATTTTCCTGGACACAGGTGAAGGCTACAGCACCTAACAACCGACTCCTCCAGGTCTACAACTTCTATGAGTAGGCCTTAAGTCAGGAATTTAGCCTCTCCCAGGCACCTGTTCTGAGCAAGCGGGCGGGGCATCACCTTGTCGGCATCAGGTAACACCCACCGATCAGCTTTCCCTGGCTCCATCCTTGGCTTGCGAGGGAATGTGAGGCTCGGCCAGGAAACACACAGCAAAGCGCCAGCCACAGCAGCAGGTGCATTGCTAACTGCCGCCTTCCTTCGCCGCCTGCCCCAGCTAAGATGGGGGCAAAGCACTTGTTCTCCTTGATCTTCCGGAAAGGTGCCTCCCCCCTACGCATGAGCCGGAAATACCAGCCGGTGGGCAGCAAAGAACCAGAAGAAGAGGTAAAGGGGTGGCGGGGAATGTGTGTTGCTGCTCGGGAATGTCACTGCCTTGGAACAATGTCTCTCCCGAACAAGCCCTCTAGCTCCGCTTGCGGAGGGTGGGCTGTCACTCTGGCAGCTGCCTTGGGTCATCTCCAGATACGAAATGGTAATCAAGTGCTGTTAAGTGGTGGTCCTAACTTTTGGAATCCCTTGCCCCTTTTCTCTCTTTTTTAAAAAGCTTAAAAACCTTTTATTCCTTTTCCTTTCCTTTTTTACAGTGGTACCTCGGGTTACATACGCTTCAGGTTACATACGCTTCAGGTTACAGACTCCGCTAACCCAGAAATAGTGCTTCAGGTTAAGAACTTTGCTTCAGGATAAGAACAGAAATTGTGCGGCGGCAGTGGGAGGCCCCATTAGCTAAAGTGGTGCTTCAGGTTAAGAACAGTTTCAGGTTAAGAACAGACCTCCGGAACAAATTAAGTACTTAACCCGAAGTACCACTGTACTTTGCTGGTCGCACTTTGCTGGTCGCTGAGGACACTGCTCCCCATCTTAAAGAGCAAGCTGCTCTGTACAGAGCCAGACCCATGGGTTCAAATAGCTCAGTACTGTCAGCACTGACTTGCAGCAGCTCTCCAGGATTTTAGGCAGGGATCTCTCCAAGCCCCACGTGAAGATGTCAGGGATTGAACCCGGGACCTTCTGCATGCAAAGCAGATGCTCTACCACTGAGCTGTGGCTCTTTCCCATTTTTCACATAGCCAGAGGTGTCTGTGCATGCTTCTTATTTATTGAGTGATAATGGTTGCCTAATACAAAAATCAGTTTCCAGGTGGCTTAAAAAGAGGATAAAAACACAGAGGCTGGGGTGGGGGGGAGAAAAGGTTGTATCCAATTTCAAGGGTTGTATTATGCTCAGAGTAGACCCACTGACATTAATGGCCATGGTCATATGCACACCTGTGCCATAGGATTTGTGCTCAGAGACCTTTATCCACCTTGAAAAATGCTTCTGCGGACTTTCCAAGTTTCCTTGCAGACATAGCTCAAGGGGTGGCTATTCCTGCCTTCCTTTCCTGCTTTCTTGCATTGTGCAAAACGTCAGTCATATTTTTTTAAACAAGCACTTATTTATTTAACTCTTGCATAGCACTTTCAAGTGTTTAAGGTGCTTCACACACATGACCTAGATGCCCTCCACACGCCAACCCTGCAAGACAGCATTTGCTAACTGGAATCAATGGGAATTGATCAGCAAAGTGTGCTGCAATGTAAATCAGTATTTATTATCTCGACCTATATTGCAGGTGGGGGGATTGGGACTGGGAAATCGGAAAGGGTGGGTCAGGGGAGAGAGAGATTTGCCTTAAGGCCTCCTTGGGAGTTTATGGCCAAGGTGAGATTCAAACTGGACACTTCCCAATTCTCAACTCAGTCTCTTACCTGCTACATTACAACATTTGGCCACATACACACCACTCATTTAAAGCATATGATCTCCCCCAAAAAAAGAACTCTGAGAACTGTGATTTACTAAGAGTGCTGGGAACTGTTGCCCTGTGTAGCGTATCCCAAGATTCTTTGGGCGAAGTGGTGTGCTTTAAATGTATGTTCAGCCTGATCAATCTGCCTCCCACCAGACACTTTACGGATAAAAGCCAAGGGCACTTGAAGATTCTGCACTTCTGCTCAATTCTCCAATGAAGGGTTAATCCCCAATCTCAGCCTCCCCTCTCCCAGCTGCAGTTCATTGTATTCTTTTCCCTTGCAATAGCCTGACCCGGCCTGGATCACGCAGGAGGGTGTGCTAGTAGTAACAGTTTATGCTTCTTAAGAATGCTTAATCTCCCAGTGGATCTGACAGAACAGCTTTTACAGAACAAATACCTTCACCCGTATTTTCTATTGCAGCAGGCAGTTGAAGGGACACTTGGAACAGGAGTGTTGTGCTAGCATTGGAACTCTTCCTCCCTCGGCTCAGTTATTGAAAGTCCAGGAACCTGGGAGAAGAAGGGTGCTGAAAATTGAAGGAATCTACTATTCCCCTTATTATTTTAACTGGGGAATCCATTTCTTTGGAAGATATATACAAAGTATGGGAAACCTCAGGCCCCCCATATTAAACTTCAGGCCAAATGCCTCTCTAGCTGGTCCTCAGAGCTCTTCCTAAAATCCCTGTAGCATTTTTAGAATTGCAACAAGGCTGTGGCAGAAGTTTAACATCCTGCTGAAGAGGCAACCCTCTGAGTTTGCTGAAGAGGCAAGCTGTATTTCAGAATGCCCAAGAATCCCCCAGTTAGAGGCAGCATTCTTTCCCAGCGCAATAGCCACACCCTCTTCCACCAGGCAACATCCCCCACCGGCCTTGCTTTGCGCCATCCTTGAATGTTTTAGCCTGGCTGGAAAGTGTCCTTGAACTCTGAGAACACTTCTTGCTTGCCTGGATGGAAGACAAGGAGGGGCATGAGAGGGTGCATAGAACATAGCCTACTGTTACCAAGGCAACATTTACATCTGTTGCTCCAGCCACTTTTGTATTTGGCCACACCCACTACCTGCACATGGCCAGAAGGGAATGTGAACCTCAGGGTGCAAATGTGTCCCCATCCCTGATTTACACTATACTTGCCATTCTAAAGATCTTCTTTGGGGTTTACAATGGTTTGCAAGTACCAAAACAACATCTCATAGAATTGTAGTGCTATTGCATTGAAAAGCATCTCAAGGGTCATCTATTCCAACTCCAGCCAAATGCAGGAAATTCATTGCCACATACCGGTACTCTCTTGTATACACACACACATGCTCCAGAGAAGGAGGGCTGTAGATAGCGTCCTCCCCCACTAAGCACCAAACAGAATGATTTTAATATCTCATCAGGGACGCGGGTGGCGCTGTGGTCTAAACCACCGAGCCTCTTGGGCTTGCTGATCAGAAGGTCGGTGGTTTGAATCCCCGCAATGGGGTGAGCTCCTGTTGCTCTGTCCCAGCTCCTGCCAACCTAGCAGTTCGAAAGCATGCCAGTGCAAGTAGATAAATAGGTACCGCTGTGACAGGAAGGTAAACGGTGTTTCCGTGCACTCTGGCACTTGTCACGGTCCTCTGTGCACCAGTAGTGGTTTAGTCATGCTGGCCACATGACCCAAAAAACTGTCTATGGACAAATAACGGCTACCTCAGCCTGAAAGCAGGATGAGCACTACAACCCCATAGTCGCCTTTGACTGGACTTAACCATCCAGGGGTCCTTTACCTTTACCTAATGCCTCATAACTGGGGTCACTTAAAGGCAGGCATCCCCAAACTCAGCCTTCCAGATGTTTTGGGATTACAACTCCCATGATCCCTAGTTAACAGGGCCAGTGGTCAGGGATGATGGGCATTGTAGTCCCAAAACATCTGGAGGGCCAAGTTTGGGGGTGCCTGCCTAAAGGCCTCAAAGCAACTATTGACAAGAAGTGCAAAACAAGCAGAGCCACCAAGAAAACACAACAAAACAATGCACAAGCAACAGCACCCAGCCGCCCAGTGGTCCATCATGGCATTAGATATCCCTATTGATTTTTGTCTTCTTATTGCTCTTTTAATTTCTTAGGCTGTATTTCATTGCGCCACAATTTAAATTCCGTGGAATGCAAATCGTAATGCGATAAAATGCAATCCAAGAAGTAAAAGGAGCAATAAAAAGGCAATTAAGAATCCTGCAGCATCCAGTACAGCCCATTAGATTTGTTACAATAGGCAGAAAAATAATTAAGCAGGTCCACCAAGACCCTCAGCAATTTTCAAGTGGTCTTTGGGAAACCAGTTTGGGAACCGCTCACCCAAGGCATGTGCAATCGTGCTAACAACGAAATACGGACAGCGTGTCACCTGAGACAGGTACCAGAAATTAAAAGCTTCCCCTTGCCAAACCATCATGTTTTTGTTTTTTAAAAAATAACTCTCTCTTGGGGCTGCATGGGATGTTAAATGTATTTCTGTGCATCTATCATGAGGGTTTCTTTGAATGCAAATTGCATCAGCTGGGGGAACCACTGACTGGTTTGGAGCCGGAATGGTGGGATTTAAATCTTTTCCCCTCTGCAGTTCAGTGGAAGATTCCCTCCCAAAACAAACAACAGATTCAGATGATATATCCACCCCACCGCACCTGAAGCACAGCATAGGAGGAAATGGTCAAATCCCCATTCCATGCCTGCCCTGATCCTGTTAATGATCACCTACACAGAGAATGTGCGGTTTGCATTTTTTTAAAAAAAGGTCTGCGCACTAGATGAAAACATGCATTTCATGTCACATCTAATTTGACCCTTATGTCAAGCTCCCAGTTTCCCTCTAGGTTTCTCATCTGCCTTGGGAATTTCCAGGCTCGTCACCTGGCCCCAGTTGATGAGATGCAAAGTCCAGTCAGTGGCCACTAACTGCTGGAACAGAACTTGGGAGGCTTGTATTTGCAAGCCCACATGATGCAGTCTCAGGAGAGTTTCTCTCTAAAAAACACACACACACAGCCTCAGTTTTGCCATCTGTAAAATGGGAATAGGGACCTAACTCACAGGCTGTGGAAACAAAGTGAAGATGGTAAAGAAGTGTTCGCATTCTTCATAAATTATTAGGATGAGACCAGCCTGTATGCTCACTCAGTCAAAAGGATAAAGCAGTCAATGGCTACTAGCCACAATGGCTTTTTTCTATCTCCATAGTTGGTGACAGTATGTCTCTGGGCGCCAACTGCTGAGAATTGCAGGTGGGGGAGAGTTGCTGCGGCACTTAGATCCTGCTTGCGGGCTTTCCATGGTTGGTCACTGTGAGAAAAAGGCTGAGAGTGCTGAAAAACAGCAGAGCTTGGGCAAACAATGTACCGCATACGTGCTGAATTAATGATGCATAATCTCCAAAAGTATGTGGACGGGCATGTTGCGTTCATTTCCTTGCTTTTGGTATGCATTCTCACAAAGTTACTAGTCCATGCCATTTTCTAAAATCCTCTTTCTCTATAATACTTCAGATATAGGTTTGTGACAGCCATGGACATATACCATGTTGTATCCTTAAAATTTTAGGAGGGCTTTTTTCTAGATGTTGTTATTGTATGATTGTTTGTAAACCCCAGTTCTCTGTGTTCTTTCATTTTGTTTTACATAAACTTAATAGAAATTCAGGTGCAGATTTGGAATATGTTGTTCTGCTTTTTCCTAGGCTTCCCAGTTGCTTAAATCAGATATTTTGGCATGGAGCTCTGGAGGTGGAGCCCTCTGGGTCAGGACGAGAGCTCAGAACAAAAGCTGTCTATCACCCTCCCCTCAAAAGTTTTGAGAGGGAGCAAAAATTGATATTCCCTCTTTTTCTTTTTGATAAGAGTCTGCAATGAAAGAAAGAAAGAAATATATGTTCAGGGCTACCTACTATAGCAAGGGGAAGGGAGAGGAGCAATGGAAATCACTGTTTCCCACCCAAAGATGAATCAAAGTTGTAAGCATCTCCATTGGTCCTGAGAATCCCTCAAGGAAACGCCCATAAATATCCAAACCATGAGGACTAGAGACTTGCTTTTCAAGACAAACAAGCCAAAGTTCCTGAGATCCTCCAGAATCCTGATTCCTGCACACTGCGCCCAATTTTTCTGCTTGCATGGGAGGCTCATGGCAGGCTAGAATAAACACAGCTGTTCTCCTGACTTCATTTTCAAACATCTCTTGTTTCATAAGAAACAGTCAGTGCTTACCATGCCTGCCAACTTTGCTAGGGTAAACTAATTATTTTATTTCCTCCAGGCGTACCTGTGCTAAGCGTCATGGTTGTTTTCTTTTTACTATGTTTAACTTGTCTTTCTTACAAACAAACAAAAAAAGGGCAAAGTCTGGAAAAGGGCATCGGGACCCAGGATTTGAATGCAAACTTGCCAGCTTCCCTGCCTCTGTTTCCTGGTGTTATTAGGTTGCTCTTCTGTCTGCTTGGCTTGCTTTGCCATCAACAATAACTAAGCCACTTATCCTGGAACCACTTCAGAAGAGGTTTAAGGGCAGTGCCTGCCTTGAATCGCCAAATTGCAGGGCAGTAATCCTGTTTCCTTCTCAGAAGATTAGAGCAGGGATGGGTAACCTGTGGCTTGCCAGAGACTGCTGGACAGCTGTATAAAAACAGCCTGCAGGATCAGGCCAGTGGCCCATCTGCTCCAGCATCCTCTTCTCACAGTGGCCAACCAGATGCTGGTGCGAAACCAGCAAGCTGGACATGAGCACAGCAGCACTCTGCCCTGGTACAGTTCCCAGCAACGGGTACTGAGAGGCACAGTGAAGGGAGAACATACTGTGATTTTATGTTTTAACTGCCCTGAGACCTGCAGGTATAAGACAGTACAGTCATACCTCTTGTTACGCTCGGTTCAGGTTACGTCTTTTCAGGTTGCATCCCGCGGCAACCCGGAAGTAACGGAACGGGTTACTTCTGGGTTTCGCCACTCGTGCATGTGCAGACACTCAAAATGATGTCACACGCATGCGCAGAAGTGGCGAATCGTGACCCGTGCATGTGCAGACGCGGGTTGCGTTCTGCTCATGTTGCGAATGGGGCTCCAGAACGGACCCCGTGCACAACCAGAGGTACCACTGTATATTATTATTATTATTATTATTATTAGCCATCGTAGCTAGTAGTTTTTGATAGCCTTGTCTACCATGAATTTATCCAACCCTCTTTTAAAGTTTGGAAGCCATCACTGCCTCCTACGGCAGTGAGTTCCATTGTTTAACTATGTGCTGTGTGAAGAAGTATTTTCTTCATGGCGTTATGGCCAAGACCCAAATTCCATTAAGCCATTCTTTCCAAGACAGGAATAATGTAGCTTTCCAATTTTGAGCCAATGACAATTTTGTGGCTGTTAACAGATAGATGGTAAGTTTTCTGTGGTTTTTAACTTGGCTGCCGTTGTTGTGCTGTTTTGATTGTACATCATCTTGAGACCATTGTGCAGAGGGCAATTAGTAAATTAATGCTCATGATAAACTACCCCTCAATTTCCCTAGGATGGGTGGCAATGGAACAAGAACCAATTGCTCTATAACCATAACTTTCTGCTCCTTGGCATAGAATCTCATAATGCTAGACATCTAATGTTGGAAGATTTGGGACAGACTTTTTAAAAGTAACTTTTCACATAAGTGCATGAAATGTGGAACTCACTGCCACAAGAGGCAGTGATAGTCACCAATTTGGATGGCTTTAAAAGAGATTAGACAAATTCATGGGGGGGGGATGCTAGAAGTGGCTACTAGCAATGATGGCTGTGCTCTGCCTCAACGGTCAGAGGCAGCAATGCTTTTAAATACCAGTTGCTGGAAACTACGGGAGGGGAGAGTTTTCTTGTACTCAAATCCTGCTTGATGGTTTCCCATAGGCCCCTTAGTGGCCATTGAGACAACAGGAAGCTGGACTAGATGGGCCATTGGTCTGATCCAGCAAGCTCCTCATATGTTTTTAATAATGATATATATATTAATCAAAATTGCCCGGTAGGCAGCAAACCATTTCAGTCCAGAAATACTAAATAGAGATACTGAGAAGCCTCCTTGGAGCAGAGACTTGGCTGGCTTTCCAAGATTAAAGCTGCTTTCCTCCCCACCCCCAGCAATCAATTTATGTCCTCCACGGGGATGTCTTTTATTTCCTGTTGATAAGGTTGTGCTCTGAAATCTCAAAAGATTTCAGAAATTTCATTGGGAAGCCAATGAAAAGACACTGGCTTTACAATCCGTGGGTGGGTGGGCACGCACGCCCCTTCCAGCTATATAAACCACTGGAATTCAGAAGTAGGAAACTTCTTCGCTTATTTGCTTTAGACCTTCCTATAAATAGTTTTTACTGTGGCACTCAAAGCAATGTGGAAAATCATGTTTTAGTGTTCCTATCCTCTTACTTTCTCTTTTCTTCCTCTTCCCCTTGGTTTTGAAATGTTTTTCTTTCTTCTGTGCTAAGCCTTGTTTCCTTTTTAACATTTTCCTTTAACAGTATCTTAACAGTACAGTAGAAGGGTGGGCAACCTATGACCCTCCGGATCTTGCTGGACTGCAATTCCCATCGTCCCTGATTATTGGTGGTGGATGATGGGAGTTGTAGTCCAACAATATCCAGAGGGCCACTGGTTTCCTGCTCCCGGTGCGGTGAGTTCTATCACTGTGGCAACAAACCCTCTCCCATATTAGAGCTCTGATGCACTGTGTGTGCCTTTTGCCCTATTTCTTCCCCCTTAATAAGTTCCTGTGTGAGCTGGTTCATTAGAGCAAATGGGGCACTGCCCCTCTTACCTTACTTGCCTGCCCAGGGATGGCACTGCTTGTCAACTTTCTCCTTCTTAGTCTCAGTTTTGTCCTTGTACAGCTGAGCAGAGAAGCAGATGATGGCGACAAAACCAGAATTAGTCTGTTATGCCCATCATTGGCTCTGACTATACCCACTTTGGGGCTCTCTGCCTTACCAGTCCCAATGAGCCACCACTGTTAGCATGGTCACTTAAACAAGATGAGCAGAACACAGAGAGAAAAGTCCTGATAACACATTACTGAGCAAAAACAGTGTGTAATTTGAGGAGAAATGAATGGAAGTTTTGCCTTTCTTAGTTCAAGCCTCATACATGGCAGGGAGACATTCAACCAAATACACAGAGGAAAAACTCCCTTCGGAGCCAATCGGGGCACATGCTACCTCAGCAAACATCATGGCACTTTGTCAAGTTGCTAAGCAACACTTCCACCAACCCGCCTCTTAGCTAGTGGCCTTTAACACTAACAGAATTAACTATTAAGTTACAAACTGGATGATACCTGCTGTTGCACTTCCAACAAGCAGCATGGAAGGAAGAGCCTTAGACATGCCAGGGATCACTTGATGTTCCAGTCAATAAAGCACATATGTGTGAACCAGGCCTGAGCCCATTTTCCACCGTCCCTCCACTTAAATTTCTGCTTAAAATGGTTGTAGACAGTCTCATCTCTTCCTCTTTCTTCACCACCCAATGTTTTATTTGCATTATGTAGCCTGAAGAAGAATCTGAACTGAAGTCAGTGGAAGAAGAGAAAGAGGTTACGGCCCTCTCTCCCAAAGAGGCTTGCAAACGCCATGCAGACGAGCTGGCAAAAATGTTACAGGTAAGAGCCATAAAACCACGACAGAGACTTTTGAGAAACACTTCAGAAGAAAGAGGTGCAGGTTAGAGTCATCTTCTTGTCTCTTGTCTTGACATGTGCTCCTGAAATGATCTAATATTCACAATATTTTCACAATGCTGCCTGCCATTGGAAAAGCTGTGATGAGGTTAGAGAGTGTCGGCAAACATACTTAACTGCTCAGGGTAACTGTGTCAGCAAAAGACATCTGACAAGCCTTTGCTGTTTCAACTGCATCAGAGCATCCAGACAGGTGACAGTTTCTGCAGGAGTGGGGTTGCATGGGAGTCATTGGCCCCATTTATTTATTTTTACAATTGGCATGAATTAACTAGGAAAAGTCAATGGAGTTGTTGTTGTTATTTACTAGTGGGGAGCACCCAATGCTATCAGGGAATGAGCACCGAACCCAAAGGGTGCTCATCAATGGTTCCTCTTCATCCTGGAGAAGAGTGACTAGTGGGGTGCCACAGGGTTCTGTCTTGGGCCCGGTCTTATTCAACATCTTTATCAACGACTTGGATGATGGACTCAAGGGCATCCTGATCAAATTTGCAGATGACACCAAACTGGGAGGGGTGGCTAACACCCCAGAGGACAGGATCACACTTCAAAACGACCTTGACAGATTAGAGAACTGGGCCAAAACAAACAAGATGAATTTTAACAGGGAGAAATGTAAAGTCTTGCACTGGGGCAAAAAACCTGAGCGGCACAAATACAAGATGGGGACACCTGGCTTGAGAGCAGTACATGTGAAAAGGATCTAGGAGTCTTGGTTGACCACAAACTTGACATGAGCCAACAGTGTGACGCGGCAGCTAAAAAAGCCAATGCAATTCTGGGCTGCATCAATAGGAGTATAGCATCTAGATCAAGGGAAGTAATAGTGCCACTGTATTCTGCTCTGGTCAGACCTCACCTGGAGTACTGTGTCCAGTTCTGGGCACCACAGTTCAAGAAGGACATTGACAAACTGGAACGTGTCCAGAGGAGGGCAACCAAAATGGTCAAAGGCCTGGAAACGATGCCTTATGAGGAACGGCTAAGAGAGCTGGGCATGTTTAGCCTGGAGAAGAGGAGGTTAAGGGGTGATATGATAGCCATGTTCAAATATATAAAAGGATGTCACATAGAGGAGGGAGAAAGGTTGTTTTCTGCTGCTCCAGAGAAGCGGACACGGAGCAATGGATCCAAACTACAAGAAAGAAGATTCCACCTAAACATTAGGAAGAACTTCCTGACAGTAAGAGCTGTTCGACAGTGGAATTTGCTGCCAAGGAGTGTGGTGGAGTCTCCTTCTTTGGAGGTCTTTAAGCAGAGGCTTGACAACCATATGTCAGGAGTGCTCTGATGGTGTTCCTGCTTGGCAGGGGGTTGGACTCGATGGCCCTTGTGGTCTCTTCCAACTCTATGATTCTATGATTCTATGGAATATGTAGAAACCAGCAAATATAGTGTCAGTTGTGATCTTGGACCCAATCACTCCAAAACTGGGCAAAGTCCTGTTGTAGTCTGCCATCTTGATTCAAAATGGCGGCCAGCAGCCAAACGTCAACAATGACTGCCGCCTCCACGTCAGGAACCCTTGTATTGAAATTGGCGACAACATCTTTGAGAGGTGAACAAACCTACAGAGCAGGCAGACAGATATACAGACAGACCACTTTCCAAAATATATAGTAGAATATTACATTTATATCTCACCTGTCCTTCAAAGAGTTCAAGGTGACATTTGTTAGCTCTCTCTTTCTCTACTGGCCACACAATCAAATCCCTAAATGGGTAGATTATGCTGGTATTATGAACCCAGCAACTCCCAGCAGTAAGGGACTTCCTAGTTATGGAGCAGATGTGTTTGGATATGTCCCTTGTCTCTGAGGGAACCTAAAGAGTGCTGAGGGGTGTGTGTTTGTGTGTGAAACCTTGGAGAGAAAGAGAGAGAAAGTGGTTGGCAGAGGAAGAAAGGAGAAAGAGGGTGCCCCACCCACCGCCATCATGCACTCCCCAACATATTACCTGAGGGGATCCCCCCCCCCCCGCTTTATGCTGTTTTTTTAAATATGCTGTCATCTTTTCAGGTCGATATACAGAAGGGACTGTCTGAAGTGTCAGTGCTGCACCGAAGGATCAAGCATGGCTGGAATGAATTTGTAATAGATAATACGCAACCAGTGTGGAAGAAATATCTAGACCAGGTAAAGAACGGGAATGCTAGTGGCAAAGGGTTTTGTGGATCATTGGATAGCGGGGTGTATGTACCCTGTCTCTTTCTCCAGGGTTATGTTGAGTAACAATGATCAATTTAAAACAAATATGTACATCTGGCATAGGAGTGGGTGTGTATTACCAGGACGTTTTCCTGCTCAAGCTCCCTTCAAATGGTGCAAGATGCTAATCTAACCAGCCCAGACGTTTGTTTGACACTTTCTTCAAGACCTTCCATGATTAATGTAGCCTGCAGTTCAGTGGAGGCTGGTCCATTAGGGCGCTCTGGACACTGCCCCACCAGCCTTGGCCTGCCTTCAGCCAGCCTCCACCTGCCTGCCTCCTGACTTACAACAAGTCTGGGTTCCTGCCTATTGGACTCCTTCTCCTTAGTCTCAGTATTGCCATGAAAGAACTTAACTGGGAGGAGATGGTGACAAAGCTGGAATTAGTTGGCTCTGCCTGTCTTTGATTCTGGCGCCCCCTACTGCTGGCCTCCCACCCCAGGAGAGTGATGGAGCTTAGCTGCACTCCCCATTCACTGAGCTCCACCCTAGCCACCTGCCAGCTGCTGTCTCTTGCATCCCGGCTCTGTCTTCTGATCCACAAGTCAGTGCCCCTCACCTTTGATGCTCTGGGGACATGCCAGTGGTCAGAAAGTGTCTCTAGGGCAGGGACAACAAAGCCTTTTCAGCCTGAGGCCGGCATTCTCTTCCAGGAGCTGCAGAGCAGTGGTGGGCGGAGCCAGAGGCACAAGCGGGTGGAGCAAAAAATGCAAATATTTAACTTTGTACAATAGGCTAGATTCTATTCACAGATATGTATCCCCCTCTATTCTTCATACAGACAAGGAAGAGGCATTATCTGAGTTCAATGGGGTCATTCTAGTCAGTCAAAAGCATTCTAGAAGGGTGCAAAGCCAGTGCAGTGAGGGGTGTGGCCTCTGGAGAGTTCTGAGGGCCAGATAGAGAGAGTGGGAGAGCCCTATTTCACCCCAGGCTTGAGGTTCCTTACTCAAGCATAAAGTAAAACTGCCTGGATCAAGCAGAGATTATTAGTTCTGTGCATGAATTGTGTGACAACTTTACTCCCACTGTGAATGGCAAAAAACAAACAAACCCTACTTCAGTCAAAGGAATGTTTCCTTCTTCTTACCTTTTAGTTTAAGAACCCCCTGATCCTTTTGCTCCTGGCCTCCGCTTTAGTAAGTGTGGTCACTAAAGAATACGAAGATGCCGTGAGTATTGCAATGGTACGTGATTTATTTTCTTTGGAGTCCTCATTCTTGGAGACATCAGAACTAGGGGACTATTTTCAACTGTACTGAATGGGGAGAAGAAAGGGGGGGTCAGGCTTCTAGGGGGTAAAGAGAACCACTCATCAACAGATTTCTCTAGGTGAGGGGTGGGGTACCTTTTGGGGGTAAAGGGTCCCAGTGGAAGACTGCGGGGGGCTGCAATCCCCCTCCAAACTTACACCCTTAATAAACACAGTCTCTTTCTCTTAAGCACACACAGAGAGTTATTTCCCTTAAAATCTTAGTAATTCTGCTCATGTTTCACATTTTTATTTGTTTGTTTTCAGTTTGTCTAGTTTCCATGTAAGCCTGAAATAAATATCCAGTCTCCACTGGCATGTGACATTATACTGTCTTTGTTGATCCACTCCCATTTTTATTTTACTTTTAGGCTGTCATCATCGTGGTGACTGTGGCCTTCATCCAGGTATAACCTTTTCTGGTAACTTTTTATAATGTTTTTAGAATGTTGCACTATTTTAGTGTTGTTAGCCGCCCTGAGCCCAGCTTCGGCTGGGGAGGGCAGGATATAAATAAAATTTATTATTATTATTATTATAACTGACCATTTTGGGTTCTCACCCATTCAGACAAAAAACGTGCCCTGACCGTGATGTGCTTCTTTTCTCGCAGGAGCACCGCTCTGAGAAATCTCTGGAGGAACTCAACAAGTTAGTCCCGCCAGAGTGTAACTGGTAAGCCTTGTAAAGCATCCACACACTTTAAACCTTTGGTGTAGTGCTAGCCAGATGCCTTCTTCGTGCGTGTATGGAGGCACAAAATGCTTGTGTGCGTTTGAGGGGTGATGGTTACAGTTGGAATGGTGGCAGGAGAACCCCTACCTCTGCCCGAGTTCCCTGCCCCCCACAAACCTGGAACTGATACTCACACTTCCCATTCACAACTGTGCAGTTTAGCCTTCCCTACTATAGAACAGCCTCCTGCCAACCTAGCAGTTCGAAAGCACGTCAAAGTGCAAGTAGATTAATAGGTACCGCTTCAGCGGGAAGGTAAACAGCATTTCCGTGTGCTGCTCTGGTTCGCCAGAAGCGGCTTAGTCATGCTGGCCATATGACCTGGAAGCTGTACGCCAGCTCCCTCAGCCAATAAAGCGAGATGAGCCCCGCAACCCCAGAGTCGGCCATGACTGGAACTAATGGTCAGGGGTCCCTTTACCTTTTACTATAGAACAGCAGATCAGGGCTTAAGAGGACTGTGTGTGTGTGTGTGTGTGTGTGTGTGTGCGCGCGCGCTTGCTCAGGGTAAACCTGTGTATTTACAAATGATTAAAATATCCTTTATTTACCTACTGGTCACTTATGCTTTATTTTACCGACCTGAACTGTGTGTGTTGAAATGTTCAGTTCTGGGACTGATGTTCATTTCCTTCTTCACCAGAAGGACAAATACCTGCTCCAGCCTTGCCAAAGCAAATATGTAATACCTTTTATGGTTTTAATTATTATGTCCAGAGAGGTGGCCTATTTGTCTTTCAAGGTCAGAGAACGCTTTGATCATTTCCCCTACTTCCCCTTGTTCCTTCCACACCCAGGGACACCTTGTAGAAAGAAAGGCAAGTGCTTTTGGTATGATGTTGCGTTCCAAGTCACCAAACGTGATTTTGTCACAGTGGCAGGGAAAGCTTTTTCAACCCATGGGCTGCCTCAGCAAACTTCTTGGGGCCACATGCCATTGGTGGGTGGAGCCAAAAGCAAAAGTGGGTGGAACAACAAATGTTTTAACAGATCCAAACAGTCTGCAACTATACTGGAACTATTTTAAACCATTTTCTTATGTGGAATTGTTTTTAAATGTTTGTGATGATGATGATGATGTTAAATAAATTTGTAGACCCGCTTCACAGCCTAAAGCCATCAAAGTGGCCTACTAGATAAAAAACAGAATAAAACACAAAAAGACAAGTTTTAAACACAATGAAGTCATTTCAGCAAGCTTTAAAAACAATAGAAACGTATTTGCAAATTCTAAAAACAGTAACGCAATATACTATGTTATCTGTCTCATTGTCCACTATTTTACATAAGTTATGTAACTTGTTGCATTAACATACGTAACTTATATTCATTTCAATGTCGACTCCAAAGCAATGTTTAAAAACATCATTAGTTACATGTTGTTTGTGAACTTAAAAGCAACTTACTTGACTGATTTCCGTTCCTGACTACAGACAAACATACAAACAGTAGCCATTTCTGCTTCCTCTTCTGTTGCCATTGGAGTGGTCTGACATCCCTGGCCACCACAATGCATTTTCCCCACAACCCTTTTGGCAGCTCTGCTTTGCTCATACGGTGCCATTTCTTTCTATTTATCTCTTTGTGGGGGGATACTAGCATGAGAGAGGGGAAACTGCAGCATCTTCTTGCTCGAGAGCTTGTTCCCGGAGATATTGTGTGCCTTTCTATGGGAGACAGGGTTCCTGCAGACGTCAGACTCGTAGAGGTAAGAGATGGATGATGGAACAGTACCATGTGCACTCCATAACTGGGTGCTCCCGTTTCAAAACTCAGTGTAAAATTCAACAAGCCATCTTGTGATTCAGTTTTTATGCTTCTGAAGACAAGTAAATGGGCCCTTGCAAAACCCACCTATTTCCACTCATACCTGCCCGCACACTTTGGGCACCTCCTGAAGCCCTTCTCTGTATGACCCTGTCATTAGAGGTGCGGTGAATGGCAACCAGAGACAGGGCCTTCTTGGTGATGGGATCCAGATTGCAGACTGCTCTCCCCAGAGAATCTCGCCGGGTACTTGCTCTGTGCTAGGCAAAGACCTCCCCCCGCCCCTGCTTAATGATGTTCATTAGGTCTGTTGAGAAAACTCAATGAAAAAGATGCAATTGTGTGTTTGATGACATCAAGACAATTTTTGCTGGGTGTTTTTGTAGTATGGAATGACTGCTCTTTTGGGGGGGCATCATTCTATTGATGCTTGCATGGAGGGGTGGATATGCAAAAATAACTGGAAACCGTGCCAATCTGCACATGCTCCAGTTCCAGAATTAACTGTATCAAATCTCCAAGTTAAACCTTAATGAATGAGGAATGGGAGTGTAGCACCAAAACAGGAAAGGGATGGAATTCATGGGAGTCCATTTATCCACTGTTTTGTCAGGTTACAGATCTCTTAGTGGACGAATCCAGTTTCACGGGGGAAGCAGAGCCCTGCAGCAAGAACGATGGCATCTTAGCAGAAGCTGGAGACCTGATGACCCTCACCAATGTCGCATTCATGGGAACTCTAGTACGATACGGCAAAGGCAAAGTGAGTGGTAAATAACTTCCTTTCACTAGCTGTAAGTAGCCCATCATTAGGCAATTATTCATAATCTTGTTGTATGCACTGGCAGCAGCAAATCTAAACCTGTGTGCTCCTGATTTTTTCCATGCAGTTACAATCCGGCACTTTTTGAATGTCGCTTTGCAAAGGCACACACACAAAAACAACAAATTCAAGACGTGTCCACAACAAAGGAAGCCATGTGACGTGAGAATACTGGCCCACCTGTCAAAGTAGCCCATTAGTGGTTGGCTGTTTGCCTATATAGCTAATATCAGCTTTGCAGAGCTGTTTAAGGCCACATTCATACCATACATTTAAAGCTATATGATACCACTTTAAACAATCATGGCTTCACACAAAGAGGAGCTGCAGTTTGTTAAGGGTGCTGAGAGTTGTTTGGAGTTGTTTATTCCCCACCCCTACAGAACTACAAGCCCTCTTCACAAGGAACTCTGGGAAATAGCAGTTCTGTGAGGGGAATAGGGACTTCGTAACCCAGACTTCCTCTTTAACTATTAAGGAGCTATCATCACTCGAAAGCTACAGATCATCTTCCTGACTTTGCATCTCTTGTAATGCAAAAGAGGTGTGTGTGTGTGTGTGTGTGTGTGTGTGTGTGTGTGTGTACTAAACCAAGCTTTAACTATGGTTTATTGACCGTAGTTAACATAAATCATGGCTTGGCATTATGTACAAACCAGGTCGTTGTGTCTCCAGCTGTCATTCAGGGGAAAGTTTTTCAACTCTGGGGAATACCATCAAAATCTAAGAAAAAAGGCAACTTATTCTTTGCATTCTTCTGCTTGTTCAGGGCATTGTCATTGGAACAGGTGAAAACTCACAGTTTGGGGAGGTATTCAAAATGATGCAAGAAGAAGAGGTGAGAAGGGGTCCAGGGGAAAGTGGACCAAGTTCTTAGTAGGGGAACATCCATAGGGTTCTATTTCAAGAGGGTTTTTCTTTCTTCCCTTTGCTGTCAATTAATGCATCAAGACCCCCAAGACTCCACTGCAGAAAAACATGGACAAACTGGGGAAACAGCTTACTCTCATTTCATTTGGCATCATTGGTGAGTTTTGCGAAATACTTTATTCCCCACCCCCTTAATGACCTACTGCCTGTTTTAAGAACTAGCTCCTGTTTATCAGAAGGGACCATCATTTTGGGAGAGACTCGCTATGTGTGTAGCAGAGACAGGGAAGAAATTTGGCTCAGATCGGATTTCAAGGCAAAGTTACTTAATCTGTGCAGCATGCAAACTGAAACACAGTTGTCCTTCAAAATCCACAGCTCTCTGAATTTTGCAGTGCAGTTCTCTAGCCAAGTCATGTGTACAAAAATGCAAGTTCAAGGGCAAATTATCCATATGATGGTGAAATAACATGGTTTTTAAATTATTATTTGGGTGAAATTGCTTGCAAAAATACATACCTTAGGCAAATTTGCATTTTAAAATGTGTATGTGAAGAGAGATTTGCGCCACAGTGTTGAGGACTTTAGAAACAAAGAAGCCCCAAACCGGTGCAGAAATGTGGAGAACCAAAATTAAGGCTGAAAAAAATGAGAAAAAACAAAATGGACAGTTTCACCCATCCCTAGAGTATAGATTTGTACAGTAGAAGCCTAGAGTTAGGCTGAGCAAATGTGACTGACCTGAGGTCCCAACAAACTAACCCAGGGTTTCCCAAACTTTGGTCTCCAGCTGTTTTTGGACTACAACTCCCATCTAGCATGACCAGTGGTCAGGGATGATGGGAACTGTAGTCCTAAAGCAGCTGGAGACCCAAGTTTGGGAAACCCTGCTCTAACCACTACACCACACTGACTTTAGTTTGTTCCCTCCTCCTTGTGCATACTTTGAGTATTTTCATGTTCGCGTACACACCTGACCATGCCTGTGGTGCCATCAAGATAGCTTCTGTTTTCCTCTCCCCTCTCCTGCAAGGTTTACTTATGCTGATTGGCTGGCTGCAGGGGAAGCATCTTCTTGGCATGTTCACCATTGGAGTGAGGTAAGAGCTGGAAGGACATTTTGTTGTCACAGTAGAAGAACAGAACAGAATGCAAACATGCTGATCAAAAACATTCCGTGTGCATATTTCCTGCCTATGTCTAGATTGAGCAGGTGTGGGGAACCTTAGGATCTGGGGGCCAATTGTGGCTCTGCAGGCTTCGCTATCTGGCTCAAGGATCCCTCCTTGGCCCTGCTTCACATCCTCCTTGGGAGTTTTTGCCTGGCTGGAATGTGCCCTTGAACTAGGCCTCTTGCTTCTCTGGCTGGAGAATAGAGAGGGATGAGTGTAGAAACTACCCTAGAAATTACATTCATTTCTCCACCTGCATTTCCTTCTGGCCATGCTTGTCCCTTGCATATGGCCCACAGAAACTTGTCCAGAATGGAATTTGGCCCTTCAGCTGAAAAAGGTCCCCCAACTCTGTGAGAGATAGGTAGACGGACAGACAGATAGACACACTATATTTCCTTTCTATTTAAATGACTTTTGATTACATTGTACAAAGGATAACAGTGGTGGATTCTGGAAAGAGATTAGTTTGTAATCAGAGCCCTCTCCAGGTGTTTAGGAGAACATGTAAGGACTCAAACTGTGGAGGGGGCATTGCCCCATTCCCTACCCCTTAAATTCTGCCGCCTGAGGTGGCTGCTTCAATCTGTCACATGGACAGGCCAGCCCTGTAAGACAGCCAAGGAGCCCATCTCCTAGTTGCTCAGGCCTCTGAACAAGGGTGTTGAGGGGCTGTAGCTCAGCAGAAAGGCCCCTGATCTGCATGGAGGAAGCCTCAAACTCTGAACAGCAAATCTCCCCACTGCCCACTGGCAGACGAAAGGGTGGGGCAGGGGAGCGCACTGCCCCTAGCACCATCGGGGAGGGGGGTACCATTGCGGCCACACACCCCAGACACGCGCCACACACCCTCCCACTGCGCCGGGCACCAGGCCCCCGCAGGACGCACGCCACGCCCCTGCGGGCAGCGTGCCACACCCCTGGTATACACGTCATGCCCCCACCTGCTCTCCACCCCTGGTGTCGGAGCGCGCAGCTTCACCACTGCCACTGCCCTAAAAGAAAAAAAAATCCATTCCACATAATGCTTTGGAAACTCCCCAACAGGGTGATTAAACTATCAGAATCTGATACAACCATTTTTGTCAGCTGCAGTGGAGAGAGAGCTCTTCAGGCAGGACAAAAGGTAGCACCAGAACCCAAGAGTTTCATACCTGTAGCTGGTGAGCTTTATAAGCACATGTGCTGATGACAGGATGGGTGGACACAGCATCCCCACCCTTCCCCACCAATATACCTGCCACGAAACATTTGCTTCTCTCTGTACAAATATTAACCTTGCTGGCCATATCTCCCTTGTTGTTTAAAGGCTGGCATTGTACATCCTTATAGTTTGCATGGCAGGCCGCCTTCTTATCAAATGACATGTGCCATCTGTTCACGTATCTGGAAAAGGGATCCCTTGGCATCAGAGGATTGTAATGTTCGTATTACTGCCCAGCAGCACGATAAAAGCAATGTGTAGCAAAGTCGCTACAGATAAAGAGAAATGGTTGAGGACTTGGAAGGGAAAAGGTTTAGGCTAGGTATAGAAACAAGGCAGGCAACTGTCAATGGAGGGCAGACGCTGTTGAATAAAAGTAACACTAAAGTGGACCAGCTAGAGTTGTCATCTTTTCCTGCACAGTCCCTCTGTCCCTTAAGGGCTATGAATGTTGCCTTTCTCTGTATTCTCTTGTTCAGCAATATTTGCGCCTGAAGCATAGATCAGGGCTTTGTCAGTGGTGGCAAACAGGCTGCAGAGCTCTCCACCAACAGACATCCATCTGGCCCCTACACTTCTGTGTTTTGATGGCAGGCAGAAAAGTATTTTCATACTAGACCAGGGATGGGGAACCTCCAGCTTGTGAGCCAAATCTGACTGGCTAGACCCTGGAATCCAGACCCTGGTGCTTTTTGGAGATCACGCCTCATTCTCTGCACTGACTGACTGATGTCTCACTTGCTCTGTTCACAATTGCCATAGCAGGCAAAGCAAAGTGTACTGAGTGAGTGTGAGAGAAAGAGAGAGAGGAAGAGAGAGAGAGAGAGAGAGAGAGAGAGAGAATGGGTTGTGCATGTCCCACTGATATAAAGTTCTGACTATTTTCTCCCAAATGAATGTGGCCCTTGGGTGGGGCAGGGGGAAGGTCCCCCACCCCTATGGTGGAAAACCTTTCCTTCCTCTGTTATATATAAAAAAGCTCGGAGTCATACAATACATGGATTGGCCAGAGATTTAGGACAGAAAAAGTGAGAGTACAGTGGTGCCTCGCAAGACGAAATTAATTCGTTCCGCGAGTTTTTTCGTCTAGCAAATTTTTCGTCTTGCGAAGCACGAAATCCCATAGGAATGCATTGAAATTCAATTAATGCGTTCCTATGGTAAAAAAAAGTCTAAACAAAGCCAAATTTGTTACCAGATAAGAGTTTATTAAGTGCTCTTTAAAGTTCACACATACTGTAAAGAGCATTTCCTTAAAATCTGTAAGGAACAATCAAAGTTAAGTCTTCCTAAACATGACAGAAAAACATTTAAAAATTCAACAAAGTGTACAGTACATTTTCTAAGACTCTGGGGGACAAACTCAGAAGAAGGTTCCTCTTCCACTCTTTGCTTCTTGCTGAAAAGAACGCCCTCCTTCAACTGTTCCCTCAGTCCACCCACCACACAGAAATTCAAATCCAGAATTCTTTTTAAACAACAGCTAGAGTTGGCCCAATGGTCACAGAAAATCATAATAAATTTCAGAAAAAAAGCCACACAAGCTTCCAGAGTCTTGCAACCCCCTCCGCAACTGTTCCCCCAGCCACCCACCACACAGAAATTCAAATCCGGAATTTTTTTAAAAAAACAGCAGAGTGGCCCAATGGTCACAAAAAATCATAAAAATGCAGAAAAAAACACACAAGCTTCCAGATTCTTGCAAACCCCTCCCCAACACCAAGTCCTTGAATTCCAAACACCCCAACCCAAAATCCAAAACCCCCAAAAAGTTTTAAAAGTTTAACTTACCAAATGGCTGCAAAGGAAGTTTTGGAAAAGCTTCAAAAATCACCAAAGTCTTCAAAACCTCAAAAAGGCTACCACACCGCAGTGCTATGAGTTGCTCCTCGAAGTCAAGTCGCAACTGCACCTCTTCAAGCAATGCACCCTGTATTACTGTAACGGTTTTAAGAAAAGAGGAAACAAACTTGCAAGACGTTTTCGTCTTGCAAAGCAAGCCCATAGGGAAATTTGTCTTGCGAAGCAGCTCAAAAAACGCAAAACCCTTTCGTCTAGCGAGTTTTTCATCTTGCGAGGCATTCGTCTTGCGGGCCACCACTGTACTTCAGAGTCAACATACAAAGAAATTGGACCAGTTGGTTAAGCCCAAATGAGGCTTTGCATTCTGCATTCTGCAAAGCTGGCACCAGACTGCAAACAGCCCTGCCTCCGATGGACGTCTGTGAAGCTCCACTAGGCATAGGAACAAAGGAAGCAGCCTTCCACGTAGAGTCAGATGATTGCTCCATTGAGCTCAGTGTATTGTCCACACTGACTGGCAGTGGCTCTCCAGGGTGTCAGACAGGGGCCTCTCCCAGCCTTACTTGGAGATGCCAGGGACTGGACGTGGAGCCTTCTGCAGATTCTTTACTGTCCTTCCTGCAACTGAGCCTGAAGCTCAAGTGTTGAAAGAGGCATCCAGGGCCCATGAAAAGGCAGGTCTTAATGTGTTTCAGCATCAGGGTCCTGGAGCAAGTTGATGCTTGCATATACTTCCTTACAGGAGTTAGTGAGGATGGTGGTGTGTAACACCAGTGGTAAATGATTCTGTGTGTGCAGCTTAGCGGTGGCTGCAATCCCAGAGGGCCTCCCCATCGTGGTCACGGTGACCTTAGTCCTGGGCGTCTTGAGGATGGCCAAGAAACGAGTCATTGTGAAGAAGCTGCCAATTGTAGAAACTCTAGGTAAGAGCACCATGCGCATGAAGGCGGGTCATGGGGTGGGTGTTAGCAAAACTGGATTTGCTAACTCTGTGGCTGATTCCCCTGTCGTCGTTTCCACCTGTTCATTTAATGTGAGGGAGGCATTTCCTTCACTCTCTCATAACTTTGTGTATTCTAATGAAGCTGAATGTTGGAATATTCAGAGCAGACAAGAGAAAATACTTCTGCACACAGCACATAGTTAAACTGTGGAATTCAGTCCCATAAAGGGCAGTGGTGGCCATCAGTTTGGATGGCTTTAGAAAAGCATTAGATAATTTCATGGAGGATAAGGCTACCAATGGCTACTAAGCATGGTGGTTCTACCTCCACTGTTGGAAGCAGTATATGCTCTAGATTCCAGTTTTCAGGGAATCATGGGTGCAGGGGGTGTTGTGGCACTCAGATCCTGCTTGCAGTCTTCCCATGGTCATCTGCTGTTGGAGTAGATTGGCCTTTGGTCTAATCCAGCAAGTCTCTTCTTAGGTTCTTATCCAGCACATGTGAATGCTTAGCAGCACGCGCACACACATGCCTGTGAGCGCAACCTCTGTTCTGACAAATCCTCTCTTCTCCTCAGGCTGTTGCAATGTTATCTGCTCTGATAAGACCGGGACCTTGACAGCCAATGAAATGACTGTCACTCAGCTCATCACCTCAGATGGATTCAAGGCAGAGGTACAGTCAGCGGTTTGGGCAAAGTTGTCAGTTGTAATACAAGACAACTCTGAACCTATAAGCGTCCTTGGTTGATAGCACTCTGATCTTGTCATTTTATAAGATGACAAGGGTAGTGATGTGCTTTTAAATGCTTTCAGTGCTGTTTTAAGTAGGGTTACTTATTTGTTTTTGGTTGCTTTTTTTAAGAAAATACTTTCATTTGTCATGTGTTTTCAGTTGCCTATGATTTATGCTGTGAAATGTCTTGGGTCCTGCATGAGGAGAGAGGCAGAATATAAAATAAATAAAATGAATATTAATCTGATTTATTTGTTGCCTAGTTCAAAACGTCTCTAGTAACTGACATACATAATTTAAAACAACTATCAAGCTTAATAATAAAGCAACAATGCTCCCCCCCCGCCAAAAAAATGTAACACAGAAAGAGCAATGAGCATCATAATAATAATCTACTCTCAAATGCTTGAGGGAACAATCATGCCTTAAAATGGCACCCAAAGGATGTTAATGTCAATACCAGATGGGCCTTGATAAGGCAAGTATTCCATAGATGGAGAGGCCAAAAGTGGAAGAAAAAACCCTTTCCCTTATTATCACTCATAAACCCATAATTTCGCTTCCAGTGGGCTACTGATTCACTTTGCCAATTAACTTCAATCCATAAATGCCAGCATTTCTGCCCGCTTTCCTTAAGATATCAGTGTCTCCAAATGTACCCTCCTCTTTCCAACATTAAATAATGTCAGCTGGCCATAGAGTTGGATCTCCTCTGCAGGTGTCTTCTGTTCTTCCAGGTGAGCGGGGTTGGGTACAACAGAGAAGGAGATGTGTGTCTCTTACCCTCCAGAGAAGTCATCAAAGAATTTTCAAACATCTCTGTGGGGAAGTTAGTGGAGGTAAGTTATTTGCCAGGGTTATTACTATTTCGTAGGAGGAGCAGAGTAGACATGATGGCCTAAACAACCAATGTGATAAGACTTCCGGTGTTGATGGAACAGGGGTAGGCAGCCTTTTGACTGCTAAGGGCAATCATGCCTCAGCAATAAATGGGGTGGAGGGGGCATATTGGCAAGCAGTGGAGCTGAACCAGGGGTTGGTGGGAGTCAAACTAGGTAGGACCACCCCTTCTCTCTCTCTCTCTCTCTCTCTCTCTCTCTCTCTCTTTCTCTTTCTGACTCCCCTTTCTCTCCCTACCCACTGAGCTGATACGGAACAGACAGATCACTCTTGGCAGATGTCTAACCTGATCACTTGCAGAGGACTTTGGAATTTAAGCCAAGGGTCCAAGATTTCCTACCCCGGCCCAAAAGATGGCACCACAGACTTCAATCCTTGCTTGTGTTGCATGCCACCCCAATCTCTGAGCGATGTGAGATTGTGGGAGTTCCAGGTGCTTATCCAGGGTTTGTGGTTTTTTTTGGAATGAGGCATAGTGGAGACCAGGGTGTCTTTATTATATGTGGATTATTTATACATATATACAAGCTGAGTGCATGCTGGAGGGGTTCACAGCATTAACACCCCAAGAGGGCCTTGCTTCCTCCCATAGCCAGTGTCTTAGATTCTAACAGAATCTCTCTTTTCCTCTCTCCAGCTTTTCTCCTAGCTCACATCACTCCAAACTCTCTCCTCTCAACTCTATCTTTGTCTTTCTAACTACCCACGAAAAGGGGGGGGGGAACCCATTACCATCTCACACAGATCCACTTCCTTTGTTCCCTTAATGGCCCATCACCCAGGCAGGCTATCAGCCTGCCTTACAACACTTGCTGGAGCCAGAGGTTAGAAGTGTCTCTGCATGCAGCCTACTCAACCCAGCCCCCCAAACTCATCACACTTGCAGCTGAGCAATCTCTAAGCCCAGGGCTTAAGCATAACAGTCATTTGATTCATTTCCCCAACAAATGTCACAAAGAAGCAAATCTCTTTCAGGCTGGCTGTGTTGCCAACAATGCAATCATCAGGAAGACGACTGTGATGGGGCAGCCGACTGAAGGGGCCCTGATAGCCCTGGCAATGAAGGTAGGGTGGCTGTTGCAAGCCCCAGGTGCTTATTAAGTTTTAGATTTAATCGGCTCTGTTTAATTTGTAATGGCTTAGCAAGGTTGCCAAAAAATGAAGGTAGGATTTAGTCTTCAACTGATCCGGTAAGGTATCTCACCATGGTTGCCAAAATTGAGAGAGAGAATTTAGCATTCAGCTGATCTGCCCATTTATCAACAGCAGAATTGAAGCAGAATTATAGTGTTATAAACCCAAGGCAGCCAGAGAGCAACCTGACTTAGTGATCTTGGCAGTGATCCTCAAAACTCAATAAGTATAAGGAAATGTGCCCAGTGGAAATATTTACTGTATTTTTCCGTGTGTAAGACTAGGTTTTTTTCCTTAAAAAATAATGTCAAAAATTAGGGGGCATCTTATACTCTCAGCCATCTCCCCCCATTTTATTCAATCTGAGTCCCCCAAAATAAAAGGTAAAGGGACCCCTGACAGTTACATCTAGTCACGGATGACTCTGGGGTTGCAGCGCTCATCTCGCTTTACCGGCCGAGGGAGCCGACGTATGTCCTCAGACAGTTTTCCCGCGTCATGTGGCCAGGATGACTAAGCTGCTTTTGGCGAACCAGAGCAGTGCATGGAAATGCCGTTTACCTTCCTTCTGGAGCGGTACCTATTTACTTGCACTTTGATGTGCTTTCAAACTGCTAGGTTGGCAGGAGCTGGGACCGAGCAATGGGAGCTCACCCCGTCGCGGGGATTCAAATCGCCAACCTTCCGATTGGCAAGCCCTAGGCTCTGTGGTTTAGACCACAGCGCCACCTGCATCCCCCAAAATAGGGGGCGTCTTATACATGGGGCCATCTTATAGACAGAAAAATACAGTAGTCTACCCACCTTCTTGGACCATGTCGCACAGTAAAAATGGTTTCCCTTCCTCTCCTTGATATAGGTGTTGCATTGGGCAAGCTGGTATCCTTAGGGACACTCCTTTGTTAAGTGGAAGAGTGACTGATAGCCTGGGATGGTTGGGTGGCGACAGTGGTGTAGCTAGCTGCTCAGGCGCCTGGGGTGGCGCGCATGCCCTGCACCCAGAGGTGGGGTGAACTGCCCATGGGACGGAGCAAGCCGGAGCAGGATGTGCTGCATGGAGCCTCGCAAACCCCACTCTGCTGTTTCGGGCAGCACAGCGCCTGTAGGCACCCAAGCCACTGCGTCACTCCCAGGACAGACACATGACTCGGGCACCCTGCAGGCCCTGCAGTGTGTGGCGCCCAGTGCCCCCCGCCTCCCCTAGCTACACCTCTGGGTGATGGTTCAATCAAGGGGATAGGAAATGGTCTCTTGAAAGCTGGAGATCCCTCTAGAGTGTTTTGAAGGAAACAGATGGGGAGGATACCTCCGTCCCATGGGGGAGGTTGCCCCAAGCCTCTCTATCTGGCCCTTGGCTCAGTCTGGGCCAACCAGATTTGTATGGGAAGCCTGCAAGCAGGGACTGATGGCAACAGCAGCTTTCTCCACTTACGATTCCCAGAAGCTGGGGTTGATGCCTCCAACAGTGGAAGTAGAACACAGCTGTTGTTGAGGGTCAAATGTTTGCCATCCCCTGTTCATTTGTAATAAAGCAAATATTGCAAGATCACCAAAAGCTTCCACTGACCCCTCTCTGGAAAGGAAAGGTCATAATGTCCTGAGAACTTCTTACCATGTGGCAAATGGGAAGCATGCAACTGTATTTAAATATTGCCTGAGTCACACTTCAAAAACATAAGAACTTGGAAGCCCAAGATACTGCCTTAAACCAAGTAAAACCATTGCACCCATCTAGCTCAGTATTGTCTGCACTGACTGGCAGCAGCCCTTCAGGGTTTCAACAAGCATTTTGTCATTAACGTTCAGCATATGAAAACCTGTCAGATTTCAAATTGAATGGTAGTCATTCCTTTTGAGCTCTACCGCTCATGTATGTATAGAATTATTAAGTGCTAAAGCCCTGGTCCTCTTTCTCCACGCCCCCCCCCTTTTTTAGATGGAACTGAGTGATATAAAAGACATCTATATAAGGAAGAAGGAGATCCCATTTAGCTCAGAGCAGAAATGGATGGCAGTCAAATGTGCTCTGAAAAACCAGGTAAAAGCAAGCAACTTGTTTTTTGTTATCTGTGATTATTTTTTTTAAAAGAAAAAGAATAATGATACACCACTGGAATCAAGTTGCGATCAGTCAGTACACATTACATTTTTATCCCACTCTCTCTCCCTCATTCACTCACCCCAGTTTTACTCTCACAAGAAGCCTGTGAAGGTGCTTAGACTCAGAGAAATTGGAGTACCTGTCCCAGGATTACCCTATGAACATCATAAGGCTGAGAGTGCATTTGAACCTGCGTGTCTCTTCCATCCAAGTCCAGCATTCTAATTACACATGGTGTGGTGTTGATGGTTGGAAATCATCAACCTGTCTGTTTTTCTGTGTGTTATGTCACTCTAAAAAACTCCATAGACATTTTTACAATAGGTGCAACAGACCAGATTCACACCAGGCATTTAAAGCACTATGATACAAAGAATTCTGGGAGTTGTAGCTCATTAAGGGTGCTGAGAGCTGTTAAAATACCCCTCACAGAGCTAAGATTGCCAGAGTTCCTTGTTAAAAGGGATTGATTGTTAAACCACTCGGCAGATTGTAGCTCTGAAAGGGGAATATGTAGATCTAGAAAATGCAGTGGTACCTCGGGTTACATACACTTCAGGTTACATACGCTTCAGGTTACAGACTCTGCTAACCCAGAAATAGTACCTCGGGTTAAGAACTTTGCTTCAGGATGAGAACAGAAATCGTGCAGCGGTAGTGCGGCAGCAGTGGGCGGCCCCATTAGCTAAAGTGGTGCTTCAGGTTAAGAACAGTTTCAGGTTAAGAACGGACCTCTGGAATGAATTAAGTACGTAACCAGAGGTACCACTGTGGTAAAGGTAAAGGGACCCCTGACCATTAGGTCCAGTCGTGACCGACTCTGGGGTTGCGGCACTCATCTCGCTTTATTGGCCAAGGGAGCTGGCGTACAGCTTCTGGGTCATGTGGCCAGCATGACTAAGCCGCTTCTGGTTAGCCAGGGCAGCGCACGGAAACGCCGTTTACCTTCCCGCCGGAGAGGTACCTATTTATCTACTTGCACTTTGACATGCTTTCGAACTGCTAGGTTGGCAGGAGCAGGGACCGAGCAACGGGAGCTCACCCCGTCGTGGGGATTCAAACCGCCGACCTTCTGATCGGCAAGTCCTAGGCTCTGTGGTTTAACCCAACAGCGCCACCCGCACCCCTACCACTGTGGTAGAACTAGGCAAAACACAACACACGGAGATTTGTTGTGATGAGAGATGTTGTGATGAGAGATGTTGTGATCGATCTCTCTCTCTCTCTCTGTCCCAACCTGAGGGTGCTGAGGACAGATCTCAGGACTTTCTGCATGCAAAGAAGATGCTCTACCACTAGGCTATGGCCCTTCCTCAATTGTTCTTTTCCTCGTTTCATAGGGGCAAGAAGAAGTCTACTTCATGAAGGGGGCCTTTGAAGAAGTGATGCAGCATTGCACCATGTATAACAGTGGTGGCATCTCCCTCCCAATGACACCGCAGCAGAAGTCCGTCTATGTTCAGGAAGAGAAGCACATGGGATCACTTGGCCTGAGGGGTCAGTTCATGGCTGTACCTCATCCCACCCCTGTGCTTGCTTGAGTCTTGTGTGGGTTGACAAGCTGGGCATCCGGACTGCATCCCTTCCAGCTTGTTATTCCACACACACAAACACCAGGCACCTGAATGCTGAAGGACAGAGGAGGCTGCCGTATGCCATGTCAGACCCTTGGCCCCTCTGGCTCAGAACGGTTGACACTGACCAGCCATGCGTCTTCAAGAGCCATCAGTATCATCCTTACATTCTTCTGGGTCTCAAGGCGGATCACACAAATTAAATACAGATAAAACACACATAGCTAAGAACATGTAATAGGTCATGGTTAAAAAGCAATTGAACAATGTGGGTGGAACCATAGTACCAGGAGCTATTTCCTTAAAAGCAGTCAGTTCCCCAAAGGCAGAAGGACAACAAGGTGGGACCTGGCCAAGCTTTTTTAGGAAGGGCATTCCAAGCCTGAGACCAGCCACTGAGAAGGCCCTCTCCCACGTTCCCATCAAACATGCCCGTGAGGGTGGCAGGACTGAGAGAAGGGCCTCTGCTTAAGATCTCAGAGACCAGGCAGGTCTGTATGGGAGAATTCGGTCCTTCAGATAGTCTGGACCTAAGCCGTCTGGGACATTTGCAGCCCCCCACAGAGATGCTGGAGGTTGGACCATTTTCCCCTGAGCCACAGCCCAACCACATTGCCACCTGGAGCCTACACTATGCCTTCCTATCTTATGCTGCAGTGTAGCTTCTGCCCGTTCCAGAAACACCTGAGGAACACACACACCCCTCTCACCTGTGCTTATAAGAACCAAGCACTTCTTGACTTGAGATATTTTCATGCTTGTGTTCTTTTAGCTTAGTAGTAGCCAACCTGACGCCTTCCAGATATTGTTGGCCTGCATGCTCATCATCCATGGCCATTGACCATTTTGGCTGAGGCTGACGCATGTTGTAGTCCAACCACATCTGGAGCTTTCTTATATGGAGTCGGACCATTGGTCCATCTAGCTCAGTATCATCTTCTACACAGACTGGCACTGTCCGTCCAGGGCTTCAGGCATGAGTCACTCTAAGCCTTACCTGGGGATGTTGGGGAGAGAACCTTGGACCTTCTGCAGATTCTCTACCACTGAGCTATGCCCCTTTCCCTTTCTGAGTGGCAGCGTGAAATAACCTGGTCTGTTGTCACTTTCTCCGCTCCTTCCTAGTGCTTGCCCTGGCTTCCGGTCCAGAACTGGGCAGGCTAACATTTTTAGGTCTTGTGGGAATCATCGATCCGCCAAGGCATGGAGTGAAGGAAGCTGTTCGAGTCCTCATTGAGTCGGGTGTTTCAGTGAAAATGATAACTGGAGATGCCTTGGAAACAGCCCTCGCCATTGGTGAGCAAGATAAACCGTGCCACCTTCTTGCAACATTTTGGGCTTTGCGCTTTAGAGAAAGGACAAGTAAAGGAGGGAGATGTGAAAGAGGTGTATAAAATTATGCACAAAGGAGAGAAAGCAGCTAGTGGGGAGTTGGTTGTTTTCTTTTGCCCCAGAAGGGACGCAGGTGGCTCTGTGGTCTAAACCACTGAGCCTTGGGCTTGCCGATCAGAAGGTTGGCGGTTCAAATCCCCGCAACGGGGTGAGCTCCTGTTGCTCGGTCCCTGCTCCTGCCAACCTAGCAGTTTGAAAGCACGTCAAAGTGCAAGTAGATAAATAGGTACCGCTCCGGTGGGAAGGTAAACGGCGTTTCCGTGCGCTGCTCTGGTTCACCAGAAGCGGCTTAGTCATGCTGGCCACATGACCCAGAAGCTGTACACTGGCTCCCTCGGCCAATAAAGCGAGATGAGCGCCGCAACCCCAGAGTCAGCCACAACTGGACCTAACGGTCAGGAGTCCCTTTACCTTTATAATACCAGAACTCAGGGCCATTCAATGAAGCTGAAGGCAAAAGGAAGGCCTTCTCTACACAGCATGTAGTTAAATGATCGAAATTGCTCCCGCAGAAAGTAGTGGTGGCCACCAACTGAGATGACTTTAAAGGAGAATTTGGACAAATTCATGGAGGATAACACTACCAGTGCCAGCTAGTCTCAATGTCTATGTTCTTCCTCCACTGTCAGAGGCAATATGCTTCTAAATACCAGTTGCTGGTGAGCTCAAGTGGTGTGGATGCTGTTACACTCAGGTCCTGTTTGCAGACTTCAAAAGGCTTCTTGTCATCCACTGTGAGAACAGGGTGCTGGACTCAATGGGCCATTGACCCAGCAGGACTTTTCTTATGTTCTGCTTACACTGAAGCAAAATTCATTGTATCACGCTGAACATCGCAGCTGATTATCTCTACTGCCCATTTCCCTTCTTGCTGTACAATTTTATTTTATTTTTGTATCTCAGATATCTGCCTCTGCTCCCACGAGGCTGGATTTGCCTTTGGCTGTTCAAGATGCTCCAGGGGCAAGGCTAGGTGACAACTTGGTGACCTAGAAATAGACTTTGGTGGAATGTTTCTGTCAGAGTTACCAGAAATCCCTTGTCAAATGCCGTCTCTGCCTCAGTTGGGATGGTCAGTCATATCCTTTCCCTTTCCTTCATAGGACGAAATATCGGCCTCTGCAATGGGAAAATGAAAGCTATGTCTGGGGAGGAACTGGAGAACACCACAGAATCAGCACTATCATCAACCGTCAAAAATGTAATGGCGCTTTGAAGGGGTTCCAAAACACATGGTGTGTGCTCATTCTTAAAACCCCAGCCGTCTCACATAGATCTGCTTTCTCTCTCTCTCCTCATTATCCAGGTTTCCATCTTCTTCCGAACAAGTCCAAAACACAAACTTAAAATCATAAAGGTATCTGCTGACCCTAAAGAAGCCACAAGTCTGTCCCTTTACCAGAGAAGCTAGTTCTGATTTCTGCACCGTGGTGGTCACTACTTTGCTTCTGATTTGCCCACTTCTGTTCAAATTACCATTTTCCTTCTATAGCTTCTCTTTTCCTGCAACTCGTTCTGGGAATCATTCTCTGCTGGTTCTTTGCCGTAGATAAGGGAGTCGGGGAATCAATTTCTATAAAGGATAACTGAAGCAGCAATTGCAAATCAAGGTGTATCTTCCTTGCCTTTCAGTGCTCAGAACTACATCTTCTAGCAATAACCACTACAAAATACAGTTGGAAAAGTCCAGTTTCTGGATCCATTGGTTTAGGCCAGGCTTCCCCCAATCCAGTGCCCTCTGGGTGCTTTGGACTACAATCCCCATCATCCCTGACAATGGCCACACTGGTTGGAGCTAAGGGGAGATGTAGCCCAGTAACACCTGAAGAACAACTGGCAGGGAAAAGGCTGCACTAGGCAGTGAATTACATCATTATTATTTATTAAACTTATTAGTTGCTTAAAAAAAAAATAGCCAGTGGAAATGCATTCAATGTTTCCTGAAACTATCTGTGCATTTCCCCCTACTCTTCCACATCCCTTTGTCTCACGAAGGGGAGAAATGAGCCCTGCCTTTTTCTCTGTTTTTGTGGTTGCTGCTCCTGTTGGTTGACAATGGTACAATTGTCTAGCCATGCACAGTCACTTCTCATTTGCTGTGATCTTCGGTTGGGTGATTTGCTGATTTGTCACTTTGGTCATGTATTGTAAAGATCATGAAAGTGGTAATCGGATGTAGGCATGTCTTCATTTAAGTGAACCTCTGTAAGTACCCAGATTGGCTGGCCTGGGACTATTACAGGCAGCATAAAAAAATATGTGTGCCCTGATTGGCTGGTCTGGAATTTTTCCTGGCAACATTCAACACTTCTTCATATTATTGGTTGGGTTTGATCCTACTGATCACATTTGCATGAAGATGCATCCTTAAATTAAAACTGATTGCATGAGCAAAATAATACCTAATAAAAGCTTGTTTCTTAACCAATCCCCATTTATCCTTTCAGCTAGAATTGTTAATTCCCACTGCTGCTGAAAGCCCAAATTCTAAATGACTAATCTCTCCAGATTGTCTTCCTGTGTACTGCATTTTGTTGTTGTTTTTGTTTTTAATTTACTGTTTTTTTCTTTATTGAAAGTTAGAAAACTACTGTGTTTGACATTTTATATTCTGGAGAGGCCAAGATCATACCACATAGATACGTGCTGAATTTTGTATTCATTTGACACTTTCACAGGCTTTGCAACAGACCGGCGCCATTGTGGGGATGACGGGAGATGGAGTGAATGACGCAGTGGCTCTGAAATCTGCTGATATTGGGGTTGCAATGGGGCAGGCGGGCACAGATGTCAGCAAGGAAGCGGCAAACATGATCCTTGTCGATGACGACTTCTCAACCATCATGTAGGTGGCTCTTAAGAGGCACATCAGACATCCCAGCATCTCTCATCTTGCTCTGGCTTCTACATTTGTTTTAGCAGGGGAAGCTGATTTATTCATTCACTATATTTATGAGACACCTCATAAAATAAGTTCTCTGGAAGAAGAGCGCAAAACATTAGCAACAAAGCCACAAGCAACAGCATTCTAACCTGAAAACAGAACCAGCATGATAAAACATGACATACAGCACAGAGCACAAACAGCCTCCGTCCTGGACCTGCTATTGTTGTCATTTGGCTGGATGGAGGGGCTGGGTTGTGGCAAGATGAGGGCTATGGGTACATGCTGGTAGGACCCCTAGAATGACTATCAATATCAAAAGCATGGTTGGTGGTCCAAAGAGTGAGAGTCTTTTCTGGGGCTGCTCCCATATTGTGGGTTTCTTTCTCAAGAGAGGTTAGCTTGGCTCCCTCCTCGTTATCCTCCCACCAGCATTTCAGGAAATGACATCTTTGCCCCTGCTGTGAAATATGTGGTGCCAATTCATCCCTGACCATCTTTGCTCCACTGGTTGTTCTGCACTTAGGGCTAATCCAGACTCCCTTTTGTGCTGTGTCAACACAGGCACAGGTCAACACTTTAAAGCTCCCTGTCCAAGCACCACCACCACCACCCTCTGGCACTTTCTCTTTACCTCTGAATCGGAACAAATGGCAGTCCATGGAAACCCCAAATTGCTGTTTGTTCCAATTCAGTGTTAAGGAGTGGGTTTTCCTGGGGAAAGCAGCAAGGAGAAAAAGTTTCTCAGACATAGAGCTTGAAACCATGGACCTGGCTGTGCCTAGAAACAAAGTGTGGATGAGCCCTTTCAGCAGCACTGGCAGTTCCTGCTTCCCCCAAAATCCAGAGCTTGGTTGTCCCATAAATGGATATCAGTTTACACGCTATTCCTTTTTCCCCAACAGGAGTGCAATCGAGGAAGGGAAGGGCATCTTTTACAACATTAAAAATTTTGTTCGGTTTCAGCTCAGCACGTAAGTTCTTCTTGACTTAAACCCAGGGGCGGAGGAAGGGGTGTGTGGACCGCCCCAGGTGTCATCAATGAGGGGGGTGATAAAATGCCAGGCGGCACTCACCGTGGAGCCTGTAGCATGTCCGAGCCACGCGTCCCTCCTGGAGTGACGCGGTGGCTTGGGCACCCCCAGATTCCATGCTGTCCCAAATGGTCCACCCGCCGCCTCCCCCTCAGCTGTAGGGTGGCTGAATGGGAGGAGGCAGGCAGACTCCTTGGAGGCCCCACAGAGCACCCTGCCCCTATGGGCACCGCGCACCACCCTGGGTGCCCAGGTGGCTTCCTCCACCACTGCTTAAACCACGTAAGAATCAACCACCATCGGGGCCACAGAATATCCATGAAGACTTAACTCACTCACTCTTTGTGTTCACGGCAGGAGCATCTCGGCACTGAGTTTGATCGCTCTGTCAACAGTCTTCAATTTGCCAAACCCACTCAACGCTATGCAAATCCTGTGGATCAATATCATAATGGATGGGCCCCCAGCACAAAGGTTAGGACACAGGAAGATTGGCGGGGGGGGGCAGGATTCACACTGGAAGCCTTCGCAATGCCCTTCTAAAATATGTAAGGTCCTTGGGAGGGCACCTCACTGCAGATTTACCTCTCCGACAGCTCTGACATCAGGAGAAGGAGATCCAACAATGGAGACTCTGTCTCTGATGGCACTGGCTTCTCTGATGCCCTGTAGGTCTAGTGGTAGGGCCAAAATTTGGTGTGGGTGTGTGTTAGAAAATAGCTTAGTTCCAATCAGGCAAAGGATGCTGGAGATCAGGCAATGTTGTTGGACCAGAGACCTTGTTGGCCCTTGTGGTCCTTGTTGGCCCTTGTGGTCTCTTCCAACTCTATGATTCTATGATTCTATATGGTGTTTCCTGCTTGGCAGGGGGTTGGACTCGATGGCCCTTGTGGTCTCTTCCCACTCTATGATTCTATTCTATGATTCTATGATTCTAAACCATTTGGACCAGTGAGTTGGTTCTGAGGTAGACATTTGGACTTGGTGGGTAAGGACTGGCTTTTGGGAGTCGGCTTGCTGTCTGGGCTGACAGTGCTGTAGCCCAACTGGTGTCCTTGAGTCCCAGAACTCTTAGATTTCAGAGGAAACAGAATGGTCTGTACAGGCCGTTTACTGAATACTTTACATTGTGGTTTCCTTGTGCAAGTTGCAGATTTCTTCCCAGAAAAATAAAATAGCTAATGAATCTGTGCTAATAAAACAGTGGCTTGGGATTTTTGTGTTTGTTTTTTTCTGGGCCTGGCAAACAGTTTGGGTGTTGAACCGGTGGACAAAGATGCCATCAAGCAACCTCCAAGGAGCATCACTGATACGATTCTCAGCAGGTCTCTGATTCTGAAGATCTTCCTGTCAGCCACCATTATAATCAGTGGAACCATGTTTGTCTTTTGGAAAGAGGTGAGAAAGAGGATGTGGCACTTGCATCTGTGCTCCAAATAAGCAGTAACTAAGGGCACATTCATACCATACATTTAAAGCACTATGGTAACACTTTCAACAGTCACAGCTCTCCCCGCCCCCCCGAATTCTGGGAGCTGAATTTGTTTTAAGGTGTTGAGAGTGGTTAGGACGCTCCCTATTCCCCTCCCAGGGCTACCAGGGCTCCCTTTGTTAGAGGGACCCACTCTGGGAATTAATCTCTTTGTACAGTACTGTTGATTTTAATCATCTTTTGAAAGTGTTTAAATACCTCTTTTAAAAAGTGTTTTTAATTGATAATTTCAGCATGCGGCTTTAGTGTAAGCCACTTTATTACAAACAAGCGGTGCATAAATTTGGTTATAACAAAAGAAGCATTTTTAAAAGTTGCTACTAGTAGAAAAGGTTTTCACCACCTTTAAAAGGGGATAAGACAAGGCTATCAAGGGTTACTAGTCATAATGGCTGAAGGACCTCCAATATCAGAGGCAGTGATTCCTCCAGATACCAGTTGCTGGGAATCACAGGCGGGTGGAGTGCGGTTGTGCTCACACCATGCTTTGGGGCTTCCCTTAGCTATCTGGCTGGCCACTGTGAGAACAGGATGCTAAACTAGATGGGTCTTTGGCCTGACCCAGCAGGGTTTTTCTTCTGTTATAGATATCTCTTCCAATCATATGTCTTTCACCCTTGTAAGAAAACAGCACACACTGCAAATCAAAATCATAAGGTTGCAGTTGGAATGGGCTACAGAACACTCCCTCTCTTCTTTTTTCGCCTGGCTTCTAATTATTTCCCTGTAGCCCATCAATCATCGCACATAGATTTAAGGCTCCTTGGCACTGCAGGGCCTTCTAATCTTCCCTCGAAAAAAGAAGAAAGGCCAGCTTTCAAGGTGACTGTGACTTTACAAACAAAGGGCTCATTGTGAGATGGGAGGGCTGACTTTGCGCATTCTCCAAACATCCACACTCCCTCCCTCCCTCTCTCTTACGACTGAGTTTTCTCACTTGCGTTTTTTCAGATCCCGGAAAGTGGCATAACGCCACGGACCACAACAATGACTTTCACTTGCTTTGTGTTCTTTGACCTCTTCAACGCCCTGACATGTCGTTCCCAGGTGAGAGAGGTGTTGGTCGCTAAGCCCAAAGAGGAGTGTGTCTGTCAGCAAAAGAAGATGCCCTATTATTTATGCTTAAAGTGTTAGTAAAGGGAACTCCTCCTCTCAAGCCAAGGGACGGACATCTTTTTTAAAAAATAATGATTTTTATTTGATTTTAAAGGATATAAACTTATAACAAAATCTATTAAAAATCTGCATAATGAGATTACTCTGAATCTCATGACTCCCCTCCATCCTCCTAATGCCAATATTTACATCTGCCTATCAGTCCATTATCAACATTTTTTAATCCATCTAAATTGTCTATAGTCTTTGTTACCTTACAAGTGAGATTAAAATCCTGCTAATGTTTTCATCTGCTTACAATGGTCTCCTAAATAAATTATAAATTTCCCCCATTATTTTTTAAAGTTCTTGCCTTCTTGGTTCCTGAGCTTTCCAGTTAATTTTCCCATTTCAGCATAGTCCATCAACTTGGTTTGCCATTCTTCCCTGTTGGGGGGGGGACACAGACAACATCTTAAATGGGTGGTACTAATTTCATATCAGTGACAAAGAGGCTTGTAGAACCTTAATGACTAACTAATTTATTACAGCTGGGATGGGGAAACATCCAAATGTTATAGCATAGCTTGCATGGACTACATCCACTTTATCTTTCATGCAACTGATGAAGTATACCGTAATTACCGTACATCAAAGGTTAATCTATCTAGCAAAATCGGCTTAGAAACACCAGGATGTCTGTGTTATCAATACAACTGTTGTTGTTTTGTCAATAGACAGCCTACAGTTCATCCCAGAGTGTGGCCATACTGAGACAAAGGAAATTCACAGGGATGTAAAACTGCAATGTAAAACCAGCAAATTACAATTACTGTAATCAACATCTACCTATCACATTGGATTGAATTGGGGCAATGGATGTTCTCCATCGCTGGAAGTATTTAAGCAGAGACTGGATGGTTATCTGTCAGGGTTATTGTAATTACATCCCAATTTGCAGATCCTTCACTTGAAGATTAAGCTAGTTGACCTCCAAGATCTTTTCCAAACTCTTTATTTCTATCATATGAGTTTGCCCAAAAGCTGCTTTGATAATAACAGGCTAGATTCATGAAGGAGAGATGTGTAAAGTTGGATCTATTTCCCCACCCCAATTATCATTTTTTCCCCTCCTCCAGACAAAACTGATACTAGAAATTGGTCTTTTCCGAAACCACATGTTCCTGTATTCTGTCTTGGGGTCTATTTTGGGTCAAATGGCTGTTATTTACATCCCTCCACTACAGAAGATCTTCCAGACGGAGAATTTAGGAGCACTAGGTAAGTCTGATGACTGAAGCTCTGAAAGAGGATTGGATTTTTTCTTCCAAAAGATTTAAGTGCGTAGCTGTGGCTGACAATTATCCCATCTTTTTCAGGAGCTTGGAAGGTTGACACAATAGCAGTGGGAATATATAGGTCTTGTTAGGGGGCAGTTGCAGGGGGCGGTTTGAGGGGGAACAAGCTGAAGCTGTACTTGCCAAGGAGCCACCAGTAGCAGACTCCAAGGTTTCATCTGTCTCACACCTGACCTCATTTGATGGCATGATGATGAGCAGAATTCTCCCCTCTGAGGCTTGGGAAACCAAATTATCCCCACCCCTCCAAACTCCCAGAACAACCTAGTTTCTTCTGAATACAAGCCCAATTGATCCCTGATTACACCCACACCACCAAAAAAAGACATTAGTGGGAGCACTATGATCCGCCCCCCCCCGACTCCTAACAGCCTTGTAATGCCCTCCATATTATCAGACTGCAACTCCCATCATTCCTGACCATTGGCAATGCTGGCTGGGGCTGATGGGAGTTGGAGTCCATTAACTGCTGGAGGACCCTGCATCGGCTGTAGTCAACCCCTCCTCCCAGGGAATTTTGGGAATTGTAGCTCTGGGAAGGGAATACGAGCCTCTTAAAAAATCCTCAGCACCTTAATAAATGACAGCTCCCATAATTCTTTGGGGAAAAGCTATGACTGTTTAATATGAATGTGGTCCTTGCCTGTATATCAGCAACAGATTGAATCTTTTTTTCTTCCCCTCTCTATCCTTGGTAGATTTGCTGTTCCTCGCGGCCCTGGCTTCTTCGGTTTTCTTCCTCTCTGAACTGATCAAAGTGTGTGAGAAATATTGCTGCGCCCCATCAAAGACGGACAGCAACATCCAACTAGAAGCTGTGTGACCAAAATAACTCGGACTTCCCTTGTTGTGGAATGCTGTTGGAATGGAACTGTGATCTAGGACAATTCACAGGGGACAAGTGGATCTTTTTATACACCTCTCAAAATTCCCAACCATCTCTACATCCCAACCCTGTCACCCACTGATCAGATTTCTTCCCTGTCACCATCCAGTCCATTGTTACTAGTTTTGAAAGGCGGCTTGTGTTGTTCCCAGCTATTTCTCAGCTTACAAGAGTGTCTTCTGCAGGGCCAGAGAATGGAGCAGGAGAACCAAATGAAATAACCACAGCACCATCTTTATTTATTTAAGTTGCAATTACTTCTTTTGTTAATAAAATGTGCCTTATAGGGGCTAATATGGCGTAGTCGTTGAGAGCGTTGGACTAGGATTGAAAGCTGGGTGGTTGCAGGGAGACATAGGTTCAAATTCCCATTGAGGTCACCAAGCAACTTTGGCCCAATTACCATGTCCAGCCTAGCCTACCTCACAGGGTTGTTGTGAGGATAAAATACGGAGGGAGCATAGAGGACCTATGTTTGCAATCCTGAACTCCTTGGAGGGAGAGGGAGATAAGAAGAAAAAGAAATAATCAGGTAAATCTTGCTGAGATGGAAGGCTTCAGTCGCACCAGGGTTCGTTTTTTCTCCAATCTCGCTGCTAAGGAAGGTTCCATATGAGACATCTATCACAGGAATCAGTTTGGAAGATACCTTGGGAGATTATGTAGTGCAACACTGCATTGACATGGCAGCTTATTCCATTTCCCTGATGATTCCTTAACTGTTAATTTCTGCATTATATCTGAACTTTTGCATGATATAAAAGCCACTTCCAGGAAACTAATGGAATATAGCACATATTTAGCATTCATTTCCATGTTATTTAATTCTTGGGTGGGGGAGGTGACTGTTTACACCCCCAGAAATTCTGGAAGCGAAAACCCAGAAAATCTTGGAAGTGATTAAATTTGGGTTAGTATTCTAGCATGCAACTTTTTCCTGCTACCTTCATGGGAGGAATAATGGGGGAAGAGGAGCATGCATGTGCTAAAGGATACGGGACTTGCAATACTGTCCAGGGAAATTCATTGTTCTGCCACACCATGCTGACTGGTGTGAATTTTAGCATGCCATGCCATTATATCAGCCAAAAAGCCAGTTTCATAACACAACAGAGTGTGGGGTGAAGAGAACGTAAGAAAATTGGGCAGAGGTGACAGCATAATAATCAGGCAAATTGATGCAATATTACACATATCTCAGTGCCCCCCCAAGTGTGGGGATTCTTTGGCCCACCAGATGTTGCTGAAATACACCACCTATCCTACCTGGCCACTGGCCACGCCTGTTGGGGCTGACAGGAGTTGTAGTTCAGCAACATCTGGAAAGCCAAAGGTTCTCCCCACCTGATGTCTAAGGTAAAGGTAAAGGTACCCCTGCCCGTACGGGCCAGTCGTGTCCGACTCTAGGGTTGCGTGCTCATCTCGCTCTAGAGGCCGTGAGCTGGCGCCGTCCGAAGACACTTCTGGGTCATGTGGCCAGTGTGACGAAGCTGCAGCTGGCGAGCCGGCACCAGCGCAGCACACGGAAACGCCGTTTACCTTCCCGCGAGAAAGCGGTCCCTATTTATCTACTTGCACTTAAGAGTGCTTTCGAACTGCTAGGTGGGCAGGAGCTGGGACCAAACGACAGGAGCTCACCCCGCCACGGGGATTCGAACTGCCGACCATACGATCGGCAAGTCCTAAGCACTGAGGTTTTACCCACAGCGCCACCCGCGTCCCTGATGTCTAGCCACCCGCAAATGCAGCATCCCTGACAAGACACCCAGCCTCTGCTTAAACACCTCCATCAAAGGAAAGTCTGCTCCATCTCTAGGCACTCTATATTCCATGGCCAAACAGCCCTTAGCATCAAGACATTTGCTGTTCGTTAAAACAACAGCACCACCCAAATGTCAACGCCAGCCACACAGGTTCATGTTACAGACATGCCAGTGAAGATGGACTGTTAGTACTGTTTCAGCTGTTGAGTTGAATGGCTATCCTGTGACAGAGGCCCCCCTCTCATTCCAACAGCTCAGGTGGTCACCGGCCCTAGGCAGAAGAACTAAATAGCTGAAAAGCATCTGATGCTTTCAAAGGCACATCTGATTCCTCCCCACACAATCGCCTTTTGCTAGGGTAGATCATTGTGGGAGGCAACTGGCAGGTGGATATCTGTAAGGGGAAGAAGGATAAGACAGGGATGATCCCCAACACACACACACACATGCTCAGCCATTTCCTTCCACCCCAATTCCAAAATGCAGCAAGATGTCCCTGTGGCTCTTTCACAAAGGGGACCGATTCAACACCCCACAACATTTCTTTTAGAAAAAGAAATCCAGAAAAGCTTAAAAACAACAGAAACGTTAAGAACGGTCCCTGGTACTAGGCAATGGCTAAGAACAGGAAACAGGTGGGTGGGACCATTTCATCCCAAGGATCCTGCCCATTCTTCTTGTGGGGGAACCATCCAAGGGCTATATGCCAGGGGCGGGCGGGGTCAGAGGCAAAAGTAGGTGGAGCACTTTGCACAGTAGGCTAGCTGAGTCTTGCCTTTGGACATTCCAGTGACACAGGAGTCAATGGTTTCTACAGACACACACTCACCCTCTGTAGCCACCATCCAGGCAAGCAAGAGGCATTATGGCAGCTCAAGGACATATTCCAGACAGGCAAAAGCACTCAAAGAGGGGGCATGGCAAGGGAAATGAGGGGTTTTGGTCCACAGAGGGTTCTGAGGGCCATACAGAAGTGGGAAGGGACACATTCAAAGATGACAAACCTCAGTCCCAGTGGCTGAAACAGACTCAAATAAAAACCTTAACTGAAGAAGCTGCCGAGTTATAGAAAAGAACTGGAACAATTTATTTGTTGCAATTAATTTGGTACATGCGACTGGACGTGCATTATTATAAAACCACTCAAAAGGTGTTAAAAAGAAAACAAAAGGGAAAGAAATAGCATCATGAACAGGAACAAACTCTTCTGTGCTGGTCTCTGGCCTGGATAGGTTCTCTTCTTCCAGCATGGAACATCTCCCTTTGCTTGAAGCTGTATTCCAAGTGTTAGATGTGTTGCCCAGCTGCATTTCCTATGCATGCTATCTATTGCCTGATCTGTACCACAATTTTGCCCTCTGTGAATATATACCCGCCATTATATTTTAAAAAGAGGAAAGACAAAAGGATGTGCTCAAAGCAAGCTCACAGCCATCACCCTGGAGAAAAAATGCCAGCTAAAGAAGATGGAAAAGTCTACAATTCTTCCAGTTGGCTGGAACAAGATCAAAAGGAAAAACCAGGGCCACACCCACCTTTGTCCATGGCTTTCTATGCCTGACGGAGTTGCAAAGGGTTATAAAACATCTGCTATGGTCCAGTTCCCTTGTGTTGAGAAGTGCTTTGCTTGATTCTCTTCCATCCAGCTTCCTGGTCCACAGGGACAAGGGCGTACTACCTTCGCTGTCAGTCTATGTCTCTGAATACCAGCTGCTGGGAATTGCAAGCGGACAGATAATCTTGCACTCCTGCCCTGCTTGAGGGTTTCCCACAGGCAGCTGCTTGGGAGAACAGGATGCTCAACTAGATGGGCCCTTGGCCTGATCCAGCAGGTTTTTTATGTTCCCACCCCAGGAAATGCGATCAGCTTGGTGACCTCCTTCAGCACGCTTGCTTCCCTTACCCCAGGGGTGGTTAACCTGTGGCCTCCCAGTTGGCATTGGTGATTCCCCCTGACGGCTACACCATCCTGGCTGGTGCTAATGGGAGCTCAACATCTGGAAGGCCACAGGTTAGTCTCTGCTGCCTTACACTGATCAGTATCTGCTAGAAAAACCTTACATATTAAGCTGTTGTGTGCAGTCAGACAAATTGATCCATCTAGCCTGGCACTGCCAGCTGTGACTGGCAGTGTCTTTAAAGGGTCCTTAAAGGTCTCTTTTGAGGAGGGGTGTTTTCTATCAGCACCTACATGATCCTGCTAGCAGGAGCTGCCTGGGATCACACTTCAGCCTTTCTGCCTACAAAACACATATTCTACCCCTCAGCTAAAGTCCATCTCTCCCAAAGGAGGGGATCAAGTGAAAATCATCCTTTGGCAGGCCTCTCTCTTGATCTTCCTCCTCTCTACTTTTGAGGGGAGGCTGGTTCCAGCAGCAGAAGAGGCACCTGAGACACATAAACACCATACATTTTTAAATCCTGCGATGCCACCTTAAACAAAGAGTTGTTTAGGAGACACACACCCCATTCCCCTCACAGGCCTACAATTCGCAGAGTTCCCTGTGAAGAGAGACTGATTGTTATCAACTCTGAGAATTGCTGCTCTGGGACAGGAAAGATGAACGGAGCTTGACGCTGTATAAGGCAGCTTCCTATTGCCCCTATGAAAAAGAGACTAGGATATAAATAGCTAGCTACCATAGGCTGGATAAACAGTGAGGCATAGCATCCGTCTACACAGATAAACCATCAATCAGGACAGAAGTAGCTCTTTCAGATTAACATGCAGATTTTCCATTTCAAGCTTCTCTTGTCTTGTCTCATAAACACTATTCTACAGAAAGAAAAATGACTGAACATGATTTAATTTCTGATCTGTGGCCTGTCCCTAAGCATTTTAAGGTAGAAGCCCCACTGAATTCAATCAGACAAGACTCCCAAGTAAAGGTGTAGCAAGATTTGAGGCTATATGGCTACAAGGCAACATGGAAGGATTTGCTATCAAAGTATAGCTGCCAAACAAGAAACACCCCTATGTATCTTGTAGATTTATTGCAACAAAGCTGGTGGAACAAAATAGTTCCTTCTAAGGTTACAGACCTTAAACATGATGTCACCAAGTCAGAATAGTATACATAAAAGATGCACTCAGAAGCTGGATCTGTTCACTCAGAAGACCAGAACAGATCCAGCTATTGTGGAAATTATGCCTTTGCAACTTGATCAAATATGTCAACAAGCCAAAGGACACTTCAATTTCCAACATACTGTTTACCTCTATAGACCACTTTTATTTTATTGTTATTCCCCACCTTTCAGTAATCTGCGAGGCTCAAGTGGAACTATAGTGGAAGCTAATACTTGTTTTTCACAATTGCAAAGGGAATATCAGTTTTAGATTCCTTGCTTTGCATACTTAATTTTCTACTCAAAAGTTCACTACCTTAAGACTTAAAAAAAAGGAGGGGGGGGGCTAAGGACACTGTTTTGAATACCAAGCCTTGTCAAGCAACTTTTTCACACACACACACACTTACTTTTCAGGGCATGATAAGAAGTCCTGAGTAGCTCTAAAGTTTGCAGCTTATGTTTCAGATGATATCATCTTATTTGCTGTGTGGTTTGTGTTGCATAGAGGTGCAGATTTGCAAAGCGGACAGTTGCATGAAAATCCAAGGTAGAGCCCCGTCCTCACACCCCTTTATAATTCCCTAGACTGAATCCTGAAGTAGGCCTTAAATTGAGGACTTGAGATCATTTCTCGACAATACCTAGCAAAGAAAATTGGGTCTTTGGGTTTCAGACATTGCTAAGTTTGGCTGCAACCAACGTTTCATCCTTCAGACTGGTGCCCCGACTGACAGGCTGCATCCACTGCTTCACCGCATGATTTAGCATTGATTCTTGCTGATTCGGTTAACCTGCAACTTGCCGCCAGCAGCTCAAGGATCAGCCCAATCTCATGCATCTTAAAGGGTCTGGGGTGTAGTGATGCCATACGCATCCAGAAATTCACCAGGGAGGTGGTCTTTCGCTTGCACTCCCAACATTGGCCTGTGCCTGAACCACCCTGGAAATCTGACTTGGTTCTCAGTCCTATACACTTATGTGAATGGTGTCTGGGACAGCAGAGACTAAAAGCAGCATTGATCAAGTGCTCAGTTCTCTGGCTATATGAACGGTGTCTGGGACAGAATTCTGAGACTAAAAGCAGCATCAATCAAGTACTCAGTTCTCTGGCTACTGCCTTTACAACATTCAAAATGTGGGTTTCCTAAAGCAGGGTCTGTGAATGCTCAACCCTGGGTTGAACCAACTGTCCCCAACAAAACTTGCTTCAGCATGATTAGCAAAGGCCCTCTTGAGCAAACAAGGTGAAATTCGTTCAGGAAACTGTTTCCCAACAGGATTCTCGAAAACTCCCTTGAGCTGCTCACAGACGAAATGTGTGACAAAATAGTGGATGCTAACACTGATCCAAAGAAGGGGGAGGGGCATGGACCTGTCTTCATTTATATTCAGCAATACCCTTGATTATTAAGAACTACCTAAAGCATGCAATCACCCCATCCGCCCGCCCCAGACAAACCATCCCGCTACGCAAAGGATTTGTCTCCTAACCAGACAACATGCAACTCTAGGAAAACACATTACACTTGAGCGGTTTGTGTTATCGAGTTTTCACATGTGGTGTTGGAGAGAGATCAGAGACGGCTCTGCACAGAGCATCAGGCAAGAGCTTCCAGGCCTTGTTCTCAGTTGTCGCCTCCGTCGCCATCGGCCGGATCCCGCAACCCATCGCTTTTCCGGCCCTTCCCGATCATCTCCAGCAAAGCCTGGGCCTCGGGGTCTGCGTCCAGGATGCTCTTCTGCCCCGTGCCCTAAATCAAAACCCAGAAGGCAGGTTGGAACACCAAACAAAATAGGAATTCAAGAAAGGGAACAGGTCACAGTCAACCCATCCTGGGGCCCTTTCATTTGCACGTCACGTCTGCATTAGAAGGAAGTTGTTATTGCTTCCCTGTGCAGCTCCCCCCCCCCCCCCAGTCATCCCTCTGCAAACAGCAGGACAGGTTCTGCGGCCCCCGCCCACTTGCCAGCCTACTTTGTTGGTCCAGTCAAACAGGTTGGGTAAGGTCACAGAGCTTCCTGAAATGACTGCAGAAGGGGACCCATGTCAGAGCGTGATCTCTGATCGCTAAGAGGAACCCTTGGGGCACCGCTGGGGGAAGGAAGGGAAGAAACACAAAAAGCAGCACATGCACCCACACCCAGCATGCTATTGTTGCCAAGAAACTTAGCAGCTTTTCTGTGCCAGGAAAGCAGTATGAAAATGCCGTTTTCCTCTTCGAAACTTTTAACGGACGATTAACTCTAGTCTTGCTTTGGAAGCGGGTGTACCTGTCTCTGCAATGGCTCTTGCTGCTGTTTTGATTGTTGTTTGGCGATTAGACTTGAAACTGGTGTTAGCGGGGGGCCACTAGGGGGCGCATTGGAAGATGGCCGACAATACCATCTCTCCGACCCACACGGGGTAATTAAGAGGCTGTAATTAAGGGAGTAGGCAGCCTCCCTTGTTGCCCCAAGGAAATGGGGAACACTGCCCTTGCCTGCTGTGCCCATAAATCACCCCCTAATTCGAAAGAAGGGGGTGAGGGCCCTAGGCAGAATGCCCCCGTGTGGACCTCGGCTCTCCTGGACGCTGTCTCTGATCGCGCACTAGTTGCAGCAATTTGGAATAATTAATTACAAAAGAAGCAAATGCACATATTTCAAGTGAAGAAGGGAGTGAAGTCTGCTAATTTAAGTGACCTCTACGAAAGAAGACGACGGGCTGGAGAAACAGGAATATTTTACGATGAAGATACACCAAAGGCGGGGTATGTTGACAACGGGGCTGAATGGGGGGGGGGGAACCTTTTTTACTTTCCTTCTATGTGATTTACAAGAACCCCTTCTCATTAGAACTGTCGGTTGAACTGACCCAAGCAGGATGATTAAGGTCTGTGTGGAGATAAACTTTAACCAAAAGTATGCTTTATGGAGACCGAGAAGCGATAAGAGCTTTTGGGAATGGCGCAGCAATTAATTTGGAGTCGCCATCTTGCCAAAGGATTTATAGCCGGGAGGAAGAACGGATTTGTTTTCAGACTGCATTCCTAGTGAATCTCCTCAGAGGTTTTGAGAAAGGAGGCAGATTGGTGAAAATTAATGACGCTAAGACTGTTTTGATGTATGGAAGTGATGTTATATGGAAAACGTCTGGATATGGCTACTGGATAAAAATAATAATATCCACGCAGGATTACAAACTGTTCTAACCAACTTCGGGAGACTATCAGAGGTCACAAAGAGAAAGGAAAAATATATGAAAATAACAACAAGAGATGTGGAAAAATAATAATAAAGGACCGGATAGTACTGTGAACATCATAAGGTTAGATTTGTGGACATTAAAACAGCAGTAAGAAGCAAGAAGTTGATTGGATCCCTTCGGAACTTGAAATATGGGTACCCCCAACAAAAATTTAAAATTCGGCTGAGTAATTTGGAATTTATGTAATTTGGTTTGATTTGATGTGATTGGTCGGTTAATAAAAAAATATTCTTAAAAAAAAATAAAGAAACTGGTGTTAGCACTGAACGTAAGTTTTCTTTTGCCTTTAGCCTTTTCATACATGCACGGTGCTATCATAGAAAAGGACTGGCCTCCAGAAGCCACCCCCCCCCTTTAAGGGGAAACACATCTTGTGGTCCACCAGCCCAAAAGAAATGGTACAACCATGCATAGCAGCCCACTGTGGCCTCAATAAATCTGCTTTTGTTATCCAAGAGGACATGACACAAACAAGAAGACATGACACATCACAGTACTGACCACCCGTCTGCGGACTGAGTGACTCAAAGGAGTTGGGAGGCTGCGGAAATCACAGCTGACTGTCCACTCAACCTCCTTTCCTCAAACAGGAGACTAGCACTGTTGGGTGCCATTTACACAGCACAATGCCATGCCTGGACTGTGGGTACTTCCTGAAGGTTTCCACCCTCCAGTGCAACATCCCTTAGTGTTGATAGGGATAGAAATTTGCAAGCTGTTTTGACTAGAGAGTTCATGCATGAGTTTCAGGGGGCCACTGACCCACTGCCCAGCTACCTCAAGGTCATTGTTTAGCTAGAGAGACAGTCACAGCGGTCACTTACGGCGGCACTTTCCGGGAGGTCTCCCACCGCCCAAACCTCCATGGCGTCCAACGTGAAGTTCTCCTTGGCCGACAGCTGAGGGCTGTTGTACGTGGTGCATCTGGGCTTGGCTTTGCTGTGGCCCCTCCCATAGTTGCTGTCGATCCACAGGCCGAAGTATTCATGTTGTCCCCCCATGCCCTGGGAAGGAAGAACAAAGGGGTTTGGCCGACACACTGCAGCATGCAGTCTGCCCCTTAATTGAATGACCCTATCAGCGTTGGGTGGGGCTGGAAGGACACGCTATGGCAATCCACCCAGAGGCAGGCGTGCCGGCCCCAACAACACCCGACCCATCTAAAATGGGCCTTGCTGGGTCAGACCAAAGCGCTATGCAGCTCACACATCCTGCTTCTTGCAGTGCTCAATCATCAGATGCCTCAGAGAATCCCACAGGCAGGGCAGGAAGGCGACAGCACATCCACACTACTAGTTCTCAAGAACTGGTGGCACATTACCTCTGAACAGGGAGGTCCTGGATTGCAACCATGACTAGTCGCCTTTACAGGCCTCGCTTCCTCCATGAATTTATCTAACCCCCTTCCAAAATGATCTAAGCTAACAGCCATCATGACACCTGCAAAACAGTACCTTTCTTTATTGTTCAAAGCCATAGGCTATTTGATACAGAAATAGCAAGACAGAATACAAGTACAAATCAGTTTCCCTTACATCAAGCACCACACCGTTTTTAAGTCAAACTACACACTGAAGGGGAATACCTAAGAAGAAAATACTGAAGAAGCAATGAAGAACACATCTTCCTATTCAATAGGATTTGGGGAGAAAACTCCCAACAGGCTCTCCTCTGCTGAACTTTTATTTTTTACAATAACCTTTTTTGTATTTCTATCCTTTCAATGTATGCATCCCTTGCTTCTTTTTTTTTAATGGTTGCCTACATTTCATCGTTTTTTATATTAAGAATTTGTCATTCTGCAATCATCTGGCTTCCCTTGATCTCTGTATTTTTGCCTTGTAAAAAATAAAATAAAAGCTCAACTAAATAAATATACGCTTTTGGTCAGATGCTCAGCAAAGGCCATCTGGCCAACCACACACACAAATGCACACACATACACAAAATCCTGTACAAGCAGATCAAGCACACAATCTGCCCAACCCACAATCTTTAAGTGGTGCGATCCAGCAAAAACTGACCCTCGCAGTTGCACTGCACAAGAGGACTAGATTCTCCAGGGTGACTGAAAGTGCAGTATTACAAGACAAGGCTCTGTCCTGCAACCATTTTGTACTTACAAGGCCATTCGGCATTGTCTGTTGCCCGTGATTCAGGTACATGTAGTGGTCGTTGTAGCCGGTGTAAGTGAAGACCTCAAGTGAGGGCGAAACAGAGAACAGAAAGCATCCGTTGTTGCCTGTAAAATGACAGTGGAAGGAAGAAGGAGCACAGACCAAATAGCAAGGAACAGAAAGGAAGGCAATCTAGGGACACAAAACAGAGGAACCTGCCTTACACCAAGTCAGACACTTGGTCCATCTAGCTCAGTATCGTTGACACTGACTGGCAGCAGCAGTTCTCCAGAGTTTCAAACAGAGAATACTCCCAGTCTTGCCTGGAGATGCCGGGGATTGAACCCGAGATCTTTTATTTAAATGCACAAAGAAATTTTGAAACGCCAGCACTCATTGCCAGTTGTCTTCCTGGCCCAAATTATGGTGCTTAAACTGACACGTAAAGCACTGATTGGCCTGGAACCAAAGTACTTGAAGCAGACAAAGGCATCCTAATTGCCCCTGCATTAGATATTACACCCCATAACCCCACCTCTTCTACTGCTAATTTTTGCCTGTCGCCTGCAGGGCAGCCAGTATTAAAGAACCCTCTTTACACCCTGCAGGGAGGTCTGGTGAGGCAGAGGCAGGAGAGATGCACTGGAACAAAAGAGTGTGCCTTACGTCAAGTCAAACTATCAGTACAGCCAGCTCGGTATCCTCTGCACTGAGTGGCAGTGGCTTTCAGGGCCGTCTTACCCATAGGTGCTAGGGGTGCGGGGACCCCGGGCTCTCAGGGGCGCCAGGCCAAGAGTCCGAGGCCCAAGGGTTGAGTTCAGGGAAGAGCCTGCACATTGGTCGGAGCACTGCGGTGGGCTCTTCTGCTGCAGGCGGCTCTGCGCCGCGATTTTGGGGGTGACCGAGCCAGTGAGACGATGAGGTGGCTGGCCAGCTCCGCCCTCCTGCGCGCCCAGGACTGGGCAACCTGGGGGAGGGGGCACTGGGTGGATCTTTACAGCCCAGCATTGCATATGCTTAAGACAGCCCTGGTGGCTCTCCAAGGTTTCCTGATGAGAGCCTGCAAGATCAGGCCAAAGGCCCATCTAGTCCAGCATCTTCTCCCAACAGCGGTCAAGCAGATGCCTCTGGGAAGCTCACAAGCAGGACATCTGAGCAACAGCACTCTCCCCATCTGTGGCTGCCAGCAGCTGGCATCCAGAGGCCTGCGTTTTTCAGACAGGGGTCTTTCCCAGTCCTGCCTGGAGAAGTCAGGAAATGAACCCTTAACCTTCTACATGCAAAGCTACAGCTCTTTCCTGGAAGGACACATTTGCTCTACGTCCTAGGCATTTTGATCTGTCCTGAGAATACTCTCCACCTTAAAGAGAATTAGTTCTAATCTCAGCAGAATCAAAAGCAACGGCAGGGTCGCCATCTAGTGGGAAAACAGTAGCAAGTCATTTTGACAGCATGTACATTAAAAAAAAAATCTTTGAAGTCTGCAATTCTGTGCACACTTGCCTGGGTCTCCAACTCACTAAAACCAATAGGGACTTAAATTGGGAGAGTCAGTGAAAAGACCCTGGGCAAAATGTGGTGTTGGGTGCAAAATTTCATCTTCCCCAGAAGGTCATGTGACTCTTGTCAGTGAAGACAGGCTTGAAAGAGTGAGAGTCAGGGGAGAGGAGCATCAGGCACAGGGAGAACACGTGGCCCTCCAGGTCCCTCTCTCCAGCCCTTGGGACTCTCAACAGGCCACACCCACTCTCCATGGGCCATGCCCCTCACTGGCCCTGCTAAGCAAGAATGTGTGCTTGAACTCTAACAAAGCTTCTTGCTTGCCTGTATGAAGGACAGAGAGGGTTGTGGAAGAACCATCCTACTGTGCAAAAGCAAAATCCGCATGCATTGTTCCACTTTTGCCCCTGGAACACGGCCCCTGATAGGCAACCTCAGCAGGGAAGGCAGCCTTCTGGCACGAACCACCACCAACCCTCCTGCCCAGCAAAGGGAAAGCCAGCTAAAATCTCTAAAGAATAATGGGAGAATGAGATTTGCCATGGAAATATGGCAAATTGCACGCTTTGCCCAATTTATACAAATGATCCTGCTTTTGTTGGCAAAGAATTTGGGCTGTCTAGATACAGAATTTTTTAGACAATACTTTTCAAACAGGATGTGCTCCATAGCACCTGCCAGAGGAGCAGGGTTGAGATTTTGTGAAATGTGAGCTATAGGCTGAAAGACGTTGGGTCAACAAGCATTCTTACCTTGAAACTGTGGTTTAACCACCCAGGAGCATGATGAAAAACCACCAAAGACGTAGCCATCGGTGTCCTTCAGAACCAGCACGCAGGGCCCCTGGTTGACAATGTGCCCACACAGCTGCGTAAAGCTCTCGCCGTGAACCTGGGAGGCAAAGAGGAGCCTCCACTTGTGTTGGAGCTCGGAAGGCAGGTGAGAGTTGATGTAGGTGACGGACGGGATGTTGAGGAGGCTGACGAAGCGGCTGCCTCTGACCCCCTGGCACTCCGGAAGCAAAGGGAAAGTCTCTTGCTCTTGGTCCGGGAGGGAGTGCAGGATGAGCAGCCCCTGCTGGACGACCACAGTGAGGAAAGCGGAGACCTGTGGAACCCGGAAGACCCAATCCTCAATGCTGCTTTCGTCACAGACAGCGTCCAGCGCCTGACCACCCTCAAGCCTCTTCCCATCTGCAGCAAGAAACAAAAGTTAGAGGTAAGTAGCACCAGGAAACTTGGTCGGATCCAAAGGAGCCACTGCCAAACCTGACCACTGGATCCAAGGGCTTTTAAATGGATTAGGACTAATGGACAGAGGAGGAAAGGTCTATTAGTAACTATGTTGTATTCCAGAGGCAGGAAACTTCATGCCCAAGAGCCAAATGCCGCTCTCTGAGCCTCTCTGTCTCCCAAGCCACAAACCCTATGGAGCTCACAATGGCCACCAACCATTGCCAGGGCCTACGTCTAAACCAAAGCGAAAATGGACATTCTGACACTCACCTGCCGATTTCAACTCCGACACTAACTGAGACGCCAAAGCTTTTATTCCTGTGGTTGAATTCTGCACATTCTTCAAGTTCCAGCCCTTCAGCATCTTCCTGCAGCTCAGGACGTGAACCACAGAGCCAACCAGATCCTCTGCAAACTTCAACAGTTTAATTTTTTTTTCCCTACGTGGAGTGTTTAAATGGCAGATGCACACAAAAAAAGGAACAGACCTCCTAATGAGGGCAGAAATTAATACTTCGAAAAGGATACTAACAGGGACTAGTACGATACGAATAACTACAGCTTCCGTATCTGGCACTGGAGAAAGACAGCAGTGGCTGAGCATCTGCCTTACTTTCCTTTCGCTAAATTTGCAGACAATTCCTGGCTTCTAGGTATTGATTCCTGGCTTCCCACTCTTGGTTCCCAGATCCATCACCTTGCCCCATTTCTGCTCCAGTCCCTCTTCCTCTCTCTTATAGGCAAATGGAACACACTGGGTTTTTTCTCTTCTTACCTCAATGATGTGACTTCCCTTCACGGTGCTGTCCGTGTTCGATATCATTTTCATGACGATGCCTTTCTTTTCCTCGGCGTTGCCTTTGAAGACTGCCGACATGAAAATGACAAACTGCTCCTTCCTCACCTGCCCGTTGGACCCAGGAGACTTCTCGGACAGAGGGATGCTCTTCATCCCATTGTACAGCCGGACGACCATTGATTCAGGGAGGGCCTCCTTGACGTGGGCCTAGAGATAGACGGAAAAGCAACAGGGAAGTTCAACCAACTAGAAGGAACAAGCAGTCTCCAAAGTGGCAGGAGCTCACTCTGCACCAAAGGCAATGCATCCTGACGCCAAGGAAGGGCCATCTCTCCTCTGGCTCCCCTCGCCGTATGTCTCTTGTTTGGGCCAACAGGCAAAAGGAACAAGCCAGCCGCTCATTACACATTCAGCAGGCCAGGGATACTTTCACAATTCGGATTTCCACCTCTGGAAATTGGTTCTTAACTGCTTGGGAAAAGGCTTCCCACCCACCATTCTGAGCCACAGTTTGATCTGGTATAAGGCAGTTTCCCAGGCTCCTTTCTGGATAGCTCAGTTGGTTAGAGCATGGTGCTGATAACACCAAAGTTGAGGGTCGATTCCCGTAGCTGCATATTCCTGAATAGATGATCCTCCGGGTCCCTTCCAACTCTACAATTCTATGATTCTCAGGCTGCAGTGAATACAATTTTTAATTATTTGCATGTTTAATTTCTATCCCACTCTCTTCCCAAAGGACAGCAAGCCACAAAGCAACATATACTGCAGGCATGCTGGATTAACAGTCAATACAAAATAATTCCCAGGATTTGCAGGACGGGGAAGAAGCTGCAGTGGCTCAACTTGAAGAACGCCAGAAGGCTATTTTTTTATTTATTTATTGCATTTATATCCCATCTTCAAGGTGCTGAACATGGTTCTCTCCCTCCTCATTTAATCCCCACAGCAACCCTGTGATGTGGGTTAGGCTTAGAGGCAGCCACCAGCCCAATGTCACCCAGTGAGCTTCATGGCCATGTGGGGATTTGAACCCTGGTCTCCCAGGTCCTAGACTGACACTCTAACAGCTGCACCACCACTCCGGCTACATTGATCTCCCTCTCCCTAACTCCCCACGCACCTATCACTTTTCTATTTCTTATTTCTTTAAAAGTAAACAGTATAGTATTACTCATGCAACCCACCCAATTTAGGTTATGACCACTTTTGTGCTGCAGCTCATTACTGGGAGACCAATGCATGATTCTTTGGGGGGGGGGGGGACTGCAGCTTCCATTATCACCAACCACTGAACATGCTAGCTGGGGCTGATGGGAGTTGGGAGTCCAACAACATCTGAAAAGCTACAGGTTCTCCATCTCTGTGTAGGAGCATCCTTTGTAAAACAACATCACCACTACAAGCCCTGTCTAATCTTAGGAATATAGGAATCTGCATTATACCAAGAACTTTTAACTCCATCTAGCTCAGTACTGCCTGCACTGACTGGCAGCAGCTCTCCAAAGTATCAGGCAGGGTGGGGGGCTTTCCCAGCCCTACCTGGAGATGCCGGGGATTGAACCTGGGACCTTCTGAATGCAAAGAAGATGTTCTACCATAGAGCTGCAGCCCTTCCACTGCAGAGTGGCCAGGAGATTGAGACAAAGCTCAAGGAATCAAATCTTGCCGCTGCTGTGAATTCAGAACCTGACTTTAAGCAATTTGTTTAAGGTCATCTGCACTATGCAGGGCTGCTGCAAATATTACAATAGGACCATGTCCACAAAGTGCTGCGAACACACAGAAAATTATCCGGAAAGGCTAAGCATGCTAATTGTCAACCAAGTTTTGTTTCTTGCCTTGAGCATCGTCAGAGTCACATCCCTCTTGGCTGGTTTGCCCCCTTTTCCTCCGACAGCCTCCCCCGACCCGGATATGGCAACAAAGACGCTGTCAATGTCGGCTTGTTCATCAGGAAGGAACCTCGAGAGGTGCTTCTGGTAATGGCTGCTGCTTTCCACGTTCCCCATCTTTTCCAGCAGATGGTGGAATCCTACGAGGATGATGAAAGGGAAAAAGAAAGAGACAAGCATGAAAACAGCAGCAGGGCTCAGAAGGGACCAGTCCCAAGCAGTGTTTCAGGAACAAGCAGAAAAGCCACTGAAACAGGGGCACTGCCAAGTTGCAGCAGTGGGGGGAGAAGCAGACGGTTCAAAGTCATTTTGCTAAAGCACAAAGGCTTCAGGGTCCTGATCAAAATGGAAAAAACAATATGGTTAAACAATCAATTTGGCTCATGAAGAATTACTAACGCCTGGCTGCAAATTGAAATCTATTAGAAAGAGTCAAATGACCCAACAGCTCAGGGAAGCATGAGGGCTGAAGGCTGAAAAGTAATTCTGCATGTAGTATGTGACCAACTCTGTATGTGTGTGTTTGTGTGTGTGCGCACATGAGAGAGACTGCAACAACTAAGCGCCTAAGAAGATCCCTTCAGGATCAGGCTAATGGCCCATCTAGTCCAGCATCCTGCTCTCACAGCAGCCAACCAAATGCCTGTGCGAAGCCCTCAAACAAGACCCAGACAGAGGAGCCCTCTCCCCCCCTGTGGTTTCCAGCAACTGATATTCAGAAGCATTACTGCCTTTGATCATGGGGGAAGCATAGCTATAATGGCTAGTTGCCATTGATAGCCTTATCCTCCATGAATTTTGTCTAATCCTCTTTCAAATCCATCCAAGTTGGTAACCATCACTGCCTCCTGCTAACTTGGGAAAAGAATCTGCTCGCCTTCCAAAATGCCCCAAAGATGAATGTTACAGTAGAAGGCCTGGAAGACTGGAAGCCACAAGGTTGCAGACTGCCAAATATTGGCTTGCAATGCTATACTAAAAGACCACAAGAACCCACCCCAAAGAATATGCAGGAATCCACTGATATTGCATAAAACACTCCTTTGGAAGTGATATAAAACCTGTAACGGCATGTTGCAAAAGGTGCCTAGAAAATAGGAACTCCTCATGACAGTCTGAGCATCATCATCATCATTGGTTTGCATAGAAAAGGCCCAGAAGCAGAATGTTCTTTGTCAATAATTTTGATACATTTTAAGAGAATTTTTAAGCAGTTAACAAAAGTATAAAACAATCAAGTGGGATATACATTTTGTTAAATAAATAAGTTGGCTGTGTCGACAAAGGGGCTGTTTTCGTACCATCTTCATAAATCAGCCTTCAGAAATCATGCTTCAGCTGCAAGCTTTCAAGCGCTCTCTCTTCATTCCTTTGAGTAATCCCATTGGGACATTATGAAAGAAATATTCCCAGCAGCATCAAACACACACGCCCCAAGCTCCAACTCTCTTGAGGTCAGGAGCGTAAATGAAAGCCTTTTTTAAAACCAAGTGTGAAACATGAGTGCTTTTCATTAAACGAGCCGCAGTGACGGAAATACAAATTAACGATCAAAGCCCAACAAGTATGAATTATTCACAAAGCGCAGCTACCTAAACCTGTCAGAGGAAAATACACACACACACACATGCATTATCAGGAGCAACAGAAATATGTTTTGTCATCAAACAAGATGAACATTAATCTGTTCTTGTTTAGGGCAATCAAGCCAGCACTCCCATATGACATTCAGATCAGGACAATGAGACAGACGAGGAAGTGCTTCAGCTTAGAGCTGTAACCAGCTCTGTCCAATTCAGAATATATCCACTGAAATAAATAGACCTAAGTTAGCCATGTCCAGTAATTTCAATGGGTCTACTCTGAGTAGGACTGAGTTGTATACAACATCAGGTGGGGAGAAGCACACTACTGAACACCTAGTAGCCATCGATAGACTTCTCTTTGCTCATCTCTTATTTTCAACAGAATGCTGCAAATACAGAGGTGGGATCTGGGTTCAAATCTTGGTACGTGGATAAAAAATTAACGAAGGAAGGAAGGAGCAAGATCCAAGTGCAGGAAACAGAACACATTTTTTCCCCCTTTGACCTCATAAACTGACTATTGCAGCAATTGCTAAGTGTTGCAATTTACTGTTAACTTTAAGCACCAATTGAAAAGAAGGTTGCAAGCCACGATGTATCTTGCCATTATTCATTCAGCCATTTAAACAATTTCTATACTTCTGAACTACTGTACAATTGTCTGCAATGGGTGATTTATGAATTCATAATTAAAACCACTCAGTTACTTTTGAATTACAATGAATGAATTTTTAATGATTAACATTATTGATAATGAAATAAATATGCTTTGTTCCCAGCCTCTGTGATATACAGCTACACACAGATATATATATATAATTCTTTACAGTATTTAAACAAAATATATACTATGTAACTACAATAGTCTCTAATATAATGTGTGCATGTATAATAGATAAAACACATACATACCCTCAATTATACTCAGGTTCACCAATTCATAATCAGTGACGTCCTCATTGATAGTCACACGTGCCACGCCCCTTATTAATATTAATATAGGCCACGCCCCTCGTTACTATTCATATTTGAAACCCGCACTCCACCCCGCAAATATCCTCACTTGTCGGCGACGGTTCCTCAGGCGTGGACGCTCCCCGGACGGCCGATGTTCCTCAGCGGCGTCTCCTCATTCCCGCGGCAGCGCCAGCACCGCCGCCACTCTTGGCCTCTGGGGAGGCCTTCCCTTGAAGCACCGCCCCGCTGGCCGTTTGACTGACAGAACGCTCAGCCAATAGGGGACGCCGAGCTTTGCGCAGAGGCGGCTACTAAGGTTGGCATCATCGCCGCCGTCCGCGTTCTGTACGGCATCATCAAATCGACAGACTTGGCATAGAGAGAGAAAAAGGGAAGAGTGGGTGGAGCGTGCTCGCGAGAGTGATGCTACATGGGCTCCTCCTCCTGCCATTCACATATCTATGGTGCCCTTCCCCCGCTATGCAGTGTCCTGGGAGTTAAAACGGAAAAGAGTTCGACCCTAGGCCGGAAGTTCTGATAAAAAACGGAAAGGGTGGACGACTCTCTATTTTAATCTCTATGTTGAGATGAAGGCCGGGATGTGTCCTCTCTCGCGGGAACTTCCTTCTACGTGTCCCGCCCTCTTTTGTGGTCGTAGCCAATGGGAGCGTTCGTGGAGTAGCAGGAGAACAATTGATGGCGCTGGTGATTTACGGGTTCGATTCCCGGGTGCGCTTGGATAGTCATACTAGCACCCAAAAAGAAACTGGGTGGCATTTCTTGACGTTTTTACCTGGCTTCAACCTGACTAATGCATACATTGCCACTGTTAGCACAATATGACATGTGATGTTGGGCAAGAGTTACAGGCACCTATTGCATGCTGTCAATCATGCAGGCGTAATTAACTGGCACATTTCAAGCACTACAGTTCCCAGCGTCCTTAACATACTACAGTTCCCATAACTCTTTGGGGGGGGGGGAGTCAAGTGCTTCAAATGTGCATTGGGTGTGTGTTAAATGTATGGTGTGGAGCTGCCTGTGGTGCCTTTCCGCAAGCCCGAAGTTAAAACCAGCATTTTGAATGGAGGCTGGCCACAAATTGGAGGTGTCAAAATTAGGTGTCTTCTCACCTGGTTCCCATCAACTCTTTGACTGCAGCATCGGGCATCAGCTGCGCATTCTGAACAATCTTCACGGGCAGCCCCACATAGAGCATGTCACAGTAATCCAGTCTAGGTAGTACCACAGCTGTTTTGATGTGTACAGATCCCCTGACGCAACATGATCCCAATGTCCACAAGGTGGCAGTGGGATATTTATTACCATCAATGCACAACCTAGTCCAGGAATTGGACTCTTTCAGCATATATTTAGTCACTTATTTAGACCCTTAGCCATTTCTTTTATTTTAATGAAAGCTGGAAATCTACGGAAGCTGAATACAAAACAGCAATCTGTGTGTGTGTGTTTTTTGTTTTGCCCTGCGTTCCTGCAATATTGTGGTACTGTATCTTACAGGCTGATGTGGGCCTATGTTTTTCCACCCTCTTTTCAAACAGAAGGCAAAAATGTGAGGGGCTGGAGAGAGAAGAAGGGGAAAATTGATTGGTGCTCAAACTATCCATCACTGCTTAAACACTAGCCAATATATTTCATCTGTTCTTCCTCTCCATCTAGCCTGATGTAGAATTCTGAACACTCAAAAGCTTACATAAGGCATAGGATGCTGATGTCGATGATGCATATTATTCTGTGACATCTTGGTCAACCTAGCAAAGTCATTGTCCTAATGTGGCTTTTTGGAACTTATATTCTTCTGGGCCAACACAGCTACTTTTACCTTTTTGTGACAGTTGCAACAAGTAGATACACGCACACACTAAATAATGTCAGAATCCTACCTAATTGCTCTCTAAGAAACCACAAACTTAAGGCTCGATTCCTAAGCAAACCATCTAGTGGACCTAAATGTTGGAAGATTCAGTGCAGACCAAAGAAAAGTACTTCTCCACACAGTACACAGTTGAAATTTGCTCCTACAGGACGTAGTGATGGTTGCTAACTTGGATGACTTTAAAAGAGGATCAGGAAAATTCACAGGGGATGTGTTGGCTCTGATGTCACAGGCAGTATGCCTCTCAACATTGGCGTAGCACTCTGTTCTCACAGTGGCCAGCCAGATGGCTGTGAGAAGCCTGCAGGCAGGAGTTGAACACAACAGCATTTTGAGCAGAATTAAAACACAGCAACTGCAGCAGTAGCTACTTATAGACTTCTCCTCCATGAATTGCCTACATCTTGCAGGAGTGAATCCCACAGTGCTGCTATGTGAAGAAGTACTTTCTTTTGAAAAATGTGCCCCTTGATTCCAGTTGCTGGGGATCCCAAGTGAGGAAAGTGCCACTGCACTCAAGTTCTGTTTGCAGACTGCCTATATATATATATATATATATATATATATATTCTTCAGATACATTTTTTTGGAAGCCACCCAGAGTGGCTGGGGAAGCCCAGCCAGATGGGCGGGGTATAAATAAATTATTATTATTATTACACAAACAGACATAGCCAGTGGAGGCTACAGTCATAGGAACATGGGAAGCTGTCTCAGTACTAAGTCAGCTCCATTGGCAGAGGGTCTCCAGGGGATTCAGGCAGGGATCTCTTCTGCATGCAAAGAAGGTGCTCTAATGTGTCCACAAAATGCATAAGCCCCATTGCTCTCTATAGGGTTCAGGGGTGCGTTGCACAGCTCATGTGACTGATGCATTGAATCGGGTGGCACTGCTTGTGCAAGCCCTGCGATGGGAACTGTGTATTGCTGCACTTTTTGTATTTGACTATTGGGCAATGCCGGATGCATCTGACCTTTGGTCTTCAACAAAGGTTTTTTTTACCATAAAAGGAAGGCCTCGCCCCAACCTCCTCCCAGCTGGCCTGGTTTGCTTCACTCAAGTCATATCCTGTGGCTTTCCTTTCTGCTCAGAGTGACCTGGTTTGTCTTTTGTGCTGATAGGTTACCTGATTCGATTGCAAAAAACATATAGGACCATATATGGTGAGAGAGAAAGAAGGGGGAAAAGAATGAAAAAACTTCCTCTGAATCAGAAGTGTCTCTTTTGGGTGTTATTCACAGAGGAAGCACACAGACACACACAAGCACACACTTTCTTTCCCTTTCTCTGTCTCTCGGTTTTGCAATAGACTTTCAGATCCTGCTGCAGATTAGCACAGAAGTGGAAATACTTACTTCTTCTCCTTCTATAGTGTGTGGGTGGGGCAGGGCGGAGTGGGGGAGATGCCCGAGTCATACATAGGCATTGCTGTGTAAGCATTACATGTCGTGCTGTGGTTGTGATGCTGCTTGTAGAGTTGCCAGGCCTCCAAGTCTGACCTGAAATCTCCATGCCCCTTCCAGATTGCTAGTGGAGAGCTTAAATCTCCAGGAGGGCAAAAGTGCCTTTAATAGTAGTAATAATGATGACGAAGAATTAATTAAAAAAAAAATACTGTGCATGCAGCTTGCAAGATTCAGCCCAGCAGCAGCTGGCTGCAAATTATAGAGTAGATCCTGCATGAGATGTGCCCTTCTCCCAATTAACATCCATCTCTAGGGCCTGCCCCCATGACATCACTGGAAGCTGCCCCTTGGTCACAGGTTTGGGCCCTGAAATTTCAAAGAATGGGATGCTCCTGACCTGGAAACTCCACCTACTTGCACAGCTTTTTCTGCAGTGTAAGAAGGGTTGTGCCTGTGGCTGAGGATTTGGCCTAGATGGCAGGAAAACATGTACCGAATCAGACCACTGGACCACTTCGCTCAGTATTGTCCACAACATGAGTGGGGAACCTCTCTAGCTGGCCCCTGATGTCTCTACCTTCCACCCTCTCTTGCAGAATGCCTGACTGCAGAAGGATGAGTTTCAATATATTTGTACCCTTCCCTCTAGCTCAGTATTGTCCACGTTGTCTGGTAGCAGCTGTCCTGTCTGTCTTAGGCAAGGAGGTGTTCCTAGTCCTGCTTTGGGATGCTGAGGATTGAAGCTGAGACCTTCTGTTGCATGGGCTCTGCCACTGAGCCTCAGCCCTTTCTAAGTGCTGGATTTTAGTATATTTGTATCCTGCTTGCAGATGGAAGGTTTTATAACCTGTTTTTCAGTCCAAAGCATTCAATGCAGCTAACAAAATCTGGAGAGCACAGTGTGAAACGTACAAGCATTCAAAAGCAAATAGCAGGCTGTTGCTTGTCGGGAGGCATATGTATGTGGGTGTATAGAAACCACTGCTTTTTGTGCAGCTGGAGTGTAGGCTTCTATACAAAAGATAAAGCTTGCATCCATCCTGTGGAGGCTGGGGACTGGGGCACTTTCCCACCAACCTCAGCCTGTCCCCACTTGCCTTCCTTCTTAGCTACAACCAGACAGGGTGTGCCTCTGCCTGCCATTGACTCTGGCTCCACCAACTGTCCCAAATGGTGACCTGTCAAACTTGACGTGGAAAATGTAGAGAGGATCACCATCTGGTCTGCTGGCCACATCCGATTCCCCACCCCTGAAATAAAAGGATGCAGTGGCATGGATGAGTGGAGAAGATTGGTTTGACCTCCTTGCTGAGTAGACTCTCGGGCAGATCCATCCCATACATTTAAAGCACTTCCAATGCACATACAATTTCCCACAGAGAAGTCCTGGGAATTGTATTTTGTGCAGGGTGCTGGCAACTGGAACTTCTTAACTCAGTGCATAGATATGGAGATAAGATATGGAGCTCACTGCCATAGGAGATGGGGATGGCCACCAACTTGGACAAGTTGAAAGAGGATAAGGCTCTCATAAGGCTACTAGCCAATGATGGCTATGTTGTGCTTCCCTGGTGAGAGGCAGTAATGCTTTTGAGTACCAGTTGCAAGAGACCACATAAGGGAAGAGTGCTCTTGTGCTTGAGTCCTGCTTGTGGGTTTTGCACAGGGATCTGGTTGGCCCCTGAGAGAAGAGAATGGTACACTAGATGGGCCATTGGCCTGTTTCAGCAGGGCTTGCCTTAAGCTCTTAACCACAGCTCCCAGAATTCTCCGGGGAAGGCTGTGTGCTTCAAATGTGTGTTGAATGCCCTTTAAATGCATGGGGGAGGGGCGCATGTTTCAGCAGAAAACTCAGGTTCATCCTTGAATGATGCAAGGGCCCTTTGCTTGAAAGAGGAGGAGGATTTCAGAGGCGATTCTTGCCCCCCCCCCGGCTGAGTCCTTAACAGTAACAACGCCATCACGCCATAATGCGTCTCATAGCAGCAACTAAATTGCCTATTATAAGTAAGTGATTTACAGCCAACCACAAGGCTTTCAAATCAATAGCAGGCTGAGTGCAGGGAGAGAGAAACCCACAACTGAGGCAGCTACTTTAAATAACTAGGTGGGGGGTGGGGAGGTCTCTCCTTCTTTTTGTCATGACTCAAACATGGTGGTTTTGATGTATCAGCAGCTGAAGCAGCAGCAAGGCTTTGCAGGGTAAATGAATTGACCACACTGCAGTTTCTT